TTTTCACTTAAACCGACTTCTTTCTGTGACAATAATAGTTAGAGAGCTGAAACTTATTGTAAGCCCATAAAAACTGTTTACACACACCATGGATTGAATCATTTTTTCAATTTTTCATCAGTTCTCGTTATCTTGGCCATTGGCCTGAAAACTTTGAACATCGATATTTCGAGAATGGCATTACTTACAATGACCATTAAACGATTAAACATTAGATTACACTATGGACTATAATCTGATAAGACTTGATTCTTAAGAAAATATGAGCTTATTCATCTAATAATGAGTACCCTTCTAACACATAAGATTTGTGGCTGAGTAACCATTTAACTTTATGAATCTGTCTCAAATCTTGTAACTTAACTAAAACAATGTTATAACTTTTTTTGTAGGCAATTGAAAAATTTAATATTCTTTAAATTATAGTCCATAATAAAAGCTAATGTTTGGTCAAAGATTGGTCATTGTAGGTGATGCCATTCTCGAGATATTGAGTTCCAAAGTTTTCGAACCAATGGCCAAGATAGCGACAACTAATGAAAAATTGAAAAAATGATTTCAGCCATAGTGTGGGTCATCAATTTTTTATGGACTAACAGGAAGTTTCAGCTCTCTTACTATTACGGTCATTAAAAGAAGTCGGTTTGGATAAAAATCGAACAGATATGTTTTACAGAAAATATAAAACTTTATTTATCAAAATAAGGTCATTTTATGGTTGTTTATCAAAAGTTACATCGATAAAAATAAGTTTCATGAAAAAATTGACTTCCATAATCGTACAAAAGGCAATCGAAGTTTCAGGTTCAAGCGCGATTTTCTCGACAATTGCAGATCAGACAAACTTTTAAATCACGCAAATGGACTCAGTTTTTATCCCTTTACAAACCTACAGCATCTAAATTTGAAAGGAATTCATTTTAACCCGTTTTTGTCCACTTTTCTCTCAGTATTTGTGTCAATTTGTGCATAAATGTTATAACTGTGTTAGTTGTGCCTTTTTAGAAACAATCATTTTAGTGAGTTAACTAGCAATAGTCTTAGCGAGAACCAATTCGTAACCTTAAACGAATGCAATAGCAAAGTTGGGAGAAAGATCAAGAGCGCGTTTTACTGAGGTAGCAGCGGCTGCTTGAGATCTGAGTCAAGCTTTGATGCCAGGAATAAAAAGAGAAGCTTCAATAGCCTTTCGGTATGGTATTCTCAATGAAGAATCGTCTAAAAGATTCTCTTGTTTCGATTGTGCTTTGGACACCATTCTAGCTTAAGAGAGTGATACCATTGATCTGGATGTAAGCAGAGAACTGGGCTGATCGTTGAATTTCTTCAATAATCTTACATTCTTATCTTGTTAGTCAATCTCCGAACAAGTGTCTCAAAGTCTCGCTTTTCTCTAACTTCTTCAACGATCTTCTCCAAGTCCTTCATCTTGATTTGGTTAATCTTGTCGAACAATTGGGCGGCAAGTTTATCCATACCTTCTTGACGAAGACTAATTCGAAGTTGAGTTGGTTAGCTTGTTGGAGGGCAATAGACGAGTTCAAAACAGCCCAGGTTGGCATTTCTTTTCCATTGACTTTGTCCTAATTGGGCATTTTTTCGGATGACTTGCTTGTCTACATTCATGGTTCGCATGGCATTTCGTAAGTAGGAGTCAGCATAGCTGATGAAGTGTTTGTCTTCAGGGTGTGATTCAATGTAGGATTTGATTTGAGAAATAGCTACCTCATCACCACATCGAAGAACAACTTTAAGAGCTCGAGTTCGGACTTCATTTGGTTGATTGGATGACATAACCATTCGTCGGAGTTTACCGAAAACTAGATCATTGCAAGCGTCAAGTAACTCAAGAGTTTCAATAGCAGCAACTCGAAGTTCAGGCTTTCCTGATTCAATGTATTAAGGTCTCAGTAAAATATTAGACTCGATCTGAATGCGGGATAAGAACTAACTAACAATATACAGTGTAGTTCGCGGTCTTTTGAATAGAAGCGAACGATCGATAAACGACATTATTATTATAACGGTTCTATTATTAATAACATAAGAGCTGGCATTATCTACGGCATTTTAATCAAATCTCAGTCTGGTATGGAATAAATTAAACAAATCCAAACCTAATTTAGCTAATCAAACTCGATTATCTTGCTTGCTCTCTAAACTTTTTTGAAATAAAGTTTGTTTAGGTGACTGGTTACTGGTAAACCAGGGGAAAAAATAACCAGTTATTTTCCTGGTTACAAAGTAACCGGTTACTTGGTGGTTACATTGAGAGGCAAATTCAAAAAGCAAGAAAAAAAGGGGCAAATGTTTTCTAAACATATTGATAGATGGCACTGATAAGAGATGCTTTTACCCATTTTAACCAGAAAATAACCGGTTGCTTGTAACTGTTATTTTCTGGTTAAAAGTATTCTACTGCAAAAATATTAACACGGACAATATTAACAATATTATAATAAAAATGATCTTTGATTTTTATCAATTTTCACTCTAACAAAACTGCTCGTTAGACGTTTGCATTGTTATACGTTGTATTATTACAATTGTAATAGTTAAAGAATTTATTCTTAATCTAAAATTTTATTGGTTGCATTTAGCTTTCGAACTCGAGCATATCGCTTTTTATTCAACTTTAAAACAATAAAACTTGACGTGGGCACTTAGTATATCGATTTCAATTGCAATTATCATTGGTAGCTAAAATCATTGATATTTTACGAAAGAAAGTAAAATTAAGTTCATTAATAGCTAACAAAATCGTAAAAAAACTAAAAAATTTGATGAAATTGAGATCAGATTTAAAGCAGTATGTTGACGGTAACCAGTATACATGTATAATCAAATGGTTAAATTGCATAAACTTAATTGTTTCTAAATTGGTTAAAACTCAATAGTTAACTAATAACAGTTTATACAAAAAACATTTATATAGAGAGTGATAAGACCTAAAAGTCGAAATTAAAATGAAGATGCAAAGAAACATGAAATGAGTACAGAAAAGCTATTGAAAGTCGAAACAAAATTTTGTTTTGGCAATTAAAATAATTGTTGAAATTGCAAATGGGTCTAAATAAGTTGAACAACAATATCTCGAAGCTATGAGATAAAACACTCGGGCTTCACCCTCGAGTTCAAATCTCACAACTTCTCAATGTAGTGGCTTTTTATATTCTTAACCCTTCCTCAATAGGGATCGTTATCTGGTATATCACTGAATGGATCATTGAATTCTGCGATTGGGCCGAAAATGCAACATTTTGGTTATTATTCTCAAAAAATTCACTCGTTTCTCAATTAAATGAGTCAAAATTAGTGTTATTTATACAAGATGTTCAAATTACATACATCTTTGGTAAACTTAACCAAATCTATGAGATTGGACTGATTGACAGAAAACATGGATTTTTAGTCATTATCATGATAATATCTCGTAACTGGTTATTTATAATCTTTAACCACAAAACTAAAAACAAAGAATCTTAGTAAATAAAATTATTATTCAAGTTAAATTGTCACCAAAAGAAGGATGAATTAAAAGCGGAGAGTAAAGTTATATCAATGGAAACAGAGCAAAAGAGCTTTGATTTTTAATTCTATTTTTGGTTTATGAAGTTAAAGAATTTGTTTTTTTTTTCTTCTGCTAGTAATGAGCCAAGTTTAAATAGCAAGAACTAATTTGGTTTCCTGCTAGGAATCGAGAACGTTACTTCGACTCTCTTATTGTGCGACGATTGATTTGTTAAACTGTTAATTACAACAAAAAAAGATTGCAATCAAAACAAGAGTAACAATTGAACTTTTCAGAGTGGCCAAACCGTATTATACAAAATCAAACTTAAACCAACTTATGACATTTATGATTCTGGTTCAACAATCACTAAATGTTGAGCAATTTAGCTACAGACAATTAGAGGAAATTAGTTGTTAATTTGATGATGAAGGCTTTAGTTGGATAACAATAATGAGATCTTAAAATAACTTTTAATTTTCTCAGCAATAATTGGCCAACCTTTAGATAAATGGACTGCTGTTTAAATGGCTCAGTATATCTGACGAATTGAGGATAATTTGGAAATATTTTGGAAACAATTTGAATATTATTATTAAATGATTGCAATTCAAGGATCAAAGTTGATGTTAACAGGCCAGGTTTGGTGAGGATAAAAATTATTGGCAAAGAGAGAGAGATCGTACAAGAAAGGCGAGATTATGGTGAGGATGATGAGGAGGAAAAGGATGATGATAAAATGTAAAAAGAGGATGGATGGAAAAAATGAACCAAAATGAAGATGAAGACCCAAAAATTGACAGAGCGGTGTAAATGTAAGGAGGTGAAGAAATGGAGGAAAAAGGCAAAAAAGTTGGGAAACAAGGAAAAGATGGAAAGATGAGGATGAGGATGATAAAGATGATTAAGATGATGGAGAACTGTGAGTTGGAATGAAGTTGGCAGTTCATTTTTAGAAACTAACGATGCAATGAGTGTTTCCCATATCTGGATAAGCTCAAGAAGATGCTTAGCAATTTTGAACATAGCAATTCTTTAACTAAATTTAGACTGTAACCATAGATGGTATGAGGATGAGGATGAAGATGTTGATGTTGATGATAGTGATAAGGGTAAAAGTAGGAAGATGAAGAGTAACAAACTTGGATCATGGTGATGGCAATTGCAAGGGAATCAATGCTTTAATAAGATTTGGGCAACAGGTATAGTTAGGCATATGATTGGTTTACATTGATCTTGTTGATATAATCATTATAATCAATATATCATTTTTTTCACGTTTTGTTTTCACATTTAAACAGATTTAATCTGTTCAATGGTTCAAGCAATACAAATTGTTTACATGTTTTGATTTTTGTTTGGCTTTGTTGATAAAATGCTGTCATTTTTAAAGTATTGGTAGAGTATTTTTTTGATTGTTTGATACCGAATGTTTATATGCTCACGAAGTGTTTTTATACCGATTGTTAAATAATTGTGGGACAAGTAATTAATTAATTTTCTTGTTGTTTACATTTCCGTTTCCGCTTATCGTTTTTAATTTATAATAATATAATTAAAGAACATTCAAGATCTTAGTTGTTGTCGATGGTGAGTTTTTGTGTGTTTTGATCTTGGACACAAAAGTAAAAGTAATAATATAATAATAGTAATAGCACAGCTTGCAATTCCAATTTTCTCTGCCTTTTTTCAGATTTTCTTAAAAGGATAGGAGAGAGAGAGAGAGATAGAGAGAGAAACTCATACATATTGAAATGTATTTTGAGTGTATGAGAGAGAAAGAGAGATAGAGAAGAAAAGAGAAGAAAGAAAGAAATGGACAGGTAGATCGAGAAGAGAGAAATATATATATAGTATCCATTGATCTGGTGTTGATGTAATGCTGTTGATGCTGCAGTTGACATAAAAGTTTTGACCATTTGGTTGTTTGTCGTTGTTTCTGATGTTTCTTTGTTTTGTGATTGATTTTGCTTCCAAATAATTTAGAAACACTTTCTGTGGACAATTGCGGGTCCTGATTCGTCGTACTCTTGCTTTGAGATCCACATTTGTTGGAAAGTAGAAAGGGAAGCCAAGATGGAACCTCCAATCCAGACTGAGTATTTTCTTTCAGGTGGAGCGATGATCTTGATCTTGAGGGTGGATGGGGCCAAAGCGGTGATCTCCTTTTGCATTCTGTCAGCAATACCAGGGTACATGGTGGTACCACCAGAAAGAACGATGTTGGCGTACAAGTCTTTCCTGATATCAATGTCACATTTCATGATTGAATTGTAGGTTGTCTCATGGATACCACAGGATTCCATACCCAAGAAGGATGGTTGGAAAAGAGCTTCGGGACATCGGAATCTTTCGTTACCAATGGTAATTACTTGACCGTCAGGAAGTTCGTAGGATTTTTCGAGAGAGGAAGAAGATGCAGCGGTGATCATTTCTTGCTCAAAGTCAAGGGCAACATAGCAAAGTTTTTCCTTGATATCTCGGACAATTTCTCGCTCAGCAGTGGTGACAAATGAGTAACCTCGTTCAGTAAGGATTTTCATCAAGTAGTCGGTTAAATCACGACCAGCCAAATCCAAACGAAGGATGGCATGAGGTAAGGCGTAACCTTCATAGATGGGTACAGTGTGAGAAACACCATCACCAGAGTCGAGGACAATACCAGTGGTACGACCGGAAGCGTAAAGGGAAAGAACAGCTTGGATGGCAACATACATGGCTGGGGTGTTGAAGGTTTCGAACATGATTTGGGTCATCTTTTCACGGTTAGCTTTTGGATTCAATGGAGCTTCAGTAAGGAGAACTGGGTGTTCTTCAGGGGCAACTCTCAATTCGTTGTAGAAAGAGTGATGCCAGATCTTTTCCATATCATCCCAGTTGGTGATGATACCGTGTTCAATTGGGTACTTAAGAGTGAGGATACCTCTCTTTGATTGGGCTTCATCACCGACATATGAATCTTTTTGACCCATACCGACCATGACACCCTGATGACGGGGTCGACCGACAATTGAGGGGAAAACGGCTCGAGGAGCGTCATCACCAGCGAAACCGGCTTTGCACATACCTGATCCATTGTCAACAACAAGGGCTGCTACTTCGTCGTCACACATTTTGATAGATTTGTTTGGTTAAGTGGGCTGCTGTGAACAATTGCAGAATAGTAATTCATCGTGTATGGACACATCGAGGATAAAAAAAGAAAAAAAAGAAAGAAAACAATAATCAGATATGATGAATAAAAAAAACTTATCGAGTAAAGAAGTTAGTAAGATGAAGTAAAAAATCCATTTTTTGGGCACAAGTTTGGAACTTTTTAAACTTTTTTCTTCATAATTAAGTTAGTTAGATTTTTTTAAAAAAAACACTTAAAATAAAAATTAGTAGATAACGAAAACTTACAGTTAAGTTGAAATAAAAGTGTATTCGACCGGCTAGGGTTAGAGGTATTCCAAAGTACCAAGACGAGGTTGGGAAGCAAACTGATTAACTCTCAAGACTCGGGGTGAGTTTAAATACTAACGATGGGTCTGGTCCTAGATGAATTTAAGACATGAGCTTGCGTCGACAATTGATCATGTAGCAGTTATACGAATATATGCGCGAAATAGTGATGGTGAACAGTTAAGGGGGTTGATCACAGAAAATTTACTCATCTTCTTTTTGAGTTGGGGAAAGGGAAGGAAAAACGAAAGAAAGAGCAGAAACTACAAGGAGGGCCAAATATAGTCAAAAAAGTTGGTTAAACTTAGGAAAAAATAACGTGTTACTACGAATGGGGATTCATTGCTTAGATTAAACCAATTTTAGGAAGATAAAGACAAGAAAAAAAAGTAGCGAATGGAAAGAGAAACAACATCATGATGAAAGGAAGATGGAGGACAAGGGAAAGAGAAAAAGAGAGAGAAAAAAGTGAAAGTAAAGAAAAAGAATGGTTAAGGAGGTCCGGGTTAAGATTAGTCTATGATGAAGAGACTAAAAATAACGAGCGACTATGGATGTGATTCAAAAGTATAGACGAAACCAATTTTAGGAAGATTCCTTTTCCACCTCCTGTGTATCCTCTTTGGAGTCTTCATGAAGAAGAACATATTCTCTCGAGCTAAAACCAAATTTGATAACATCTTTCTCAAACAGTTCATAATACCTCCTTGGTTCAATTGGTTTGTTATTTATAAATGTACCATTCGCGGATTCCAAATCAATCAGGTAGGGACGAACTCTTTTGCCAGTTGAATCGTCATCTCTTTTATAAGTTACTTGACGAAATTGAATCACTGCATGCTGCTTCGAACACGAAGGATGGTCAATAGGTAAATCAGCAACCCGTCTATCACGACCCAAAAGATATGCACTTTGATTTTTCAACGTTATATGCGGTAAAGCTTCAACCCCTTTAAAAGGATACAATCTCCAATTTTTTTTAGGAATTTTGGCCTCCGCAGGTTCAGAGTATTTAACAACGACACCATTAAAAGTGTTAGTATCCTCGGCTAATTTACCACTTAACGAGTAATTCGGAGTAACCATTGTACTTAAAAGTAATATACAGTAAAAAACTTACAAAAAATAAAGGTAAGGCCAAATGTTAATTACAAAAAAGTCTTTAACAACAAAAATAATTTATATTTAAATGTGACAGTTGATTAGTATCAATAAAAATTGAACTTGTCTAAATTGTAATCGCGAAAATATTTCAATTTTGTTTACAATTTAAACCAACTGGTCCAGTTGCTGAAAGGCCCTCTACACAGTTTCCAAAGTATTAAAAGCGCTCCTTTCAAATTTATTGTTCTCTTTGTTCTCAAGCCAAGAAAACTCGAATCGTTATTAAATAAATAATCTGATTTAAACCTCAGTGGATCATATAAGTTCTAATTTTTACCAGTCATCAATCACCAAAGAATATATTAAGAAATACCCTGATTATGAGTGAAATAAGTTTCAACTTATAACCAGAAAAGGAAATTCACTGAGAGTAGTTTGTTTATCAAACCTTCACTTTATTGCCAGCTGAATCTTTAATTTCTTATTCACATGAATTTACTTTCAAATTATCTGAATCAATTTAATTTCTTTCAACTACAATTGACTTCAAGAATAGCTATAGAATAGCTGACAATTTAATAAGAAAACAAATTCATCATAAAATTGAATGGAAACAAAGTGATCTGAAAAATACTTCAAATCTAAAGACTCTTTATGGTTATTGTTAGCATTGAGATTAAATTAAGGAGCTGATTGAACTAATTGCTGGAAAAAATACTCAGATGATAAAAAAGTTGTTAATTGATATCTTGTTGAAAACAATTATAGTCAAACTGTTGAAACTACAAGTAGACTTAAGGTTGTTTTTACCGTTTATTAAATATTTAACGAAGTAAATTAAGGCTTAAAAGGCATCATTTGAAGATTGTTTAAAATGATTTATTATTCATCATTTTTGGCTGGTAAAAGGCATGATTAAACATTAGCCAAAGATTCAATTGGAAAGGAATAAATTAGATTGTCATTTATTGATTAGTCAAAATACCTTGAATCTTCATTTATTTAGGTTCATGAATCAATTGTTAACATTTTAGTGATAATCTGTAAATCAAATTAATTTTCAAAGCAAACTTGAGATGGATCCGATTCCAGGCCAAGTATGGAATCTTGATTTTGTGAATAAAAATTTTCATGTTAAATGGTAACAGTATTTTTGGCAGCAATATTGTAACTATAAGTAATTTGAGGCAATCTATTGCAGCTTGAATTTGTTGAAGCTTTCTTTGTAAATATGATAGTCAAGTGTTCTACTAATAATTGTTTGTTTTAAATAATCAGTTTTAATATAAATAAAAACAAAATGATATAATTAAATAAAGGTGAATGGATTGTCATTGGTCGAACGTTAAAAATTGAATGATAAAAACAATTCATGTTCAGTAATTGTTGAAAAAAATGAACCATTGATGATTTTATCAAATTTTACTCAAGAAATGATTTTAATACGTGTATGTTTTTTAAGTTTGCTTGTGTGTGTGTGTTTGTGTTTTTTGTGTTGTGCAGCCAAATTATTTCATGGATAAGGCGCAAGGAAAAGAAAAAGAAATAGATTAGAAAGACATAGAAAAGTGAAAGAAGAAGGATTAAGAGAGGAATAATAAGAAGGAAGAGATAGAGAGACATGAGAATAGGAGGAAAGAGAAGAGATAGAGTTTATATTTATAAATATGTATAGATAGGTTGATAAAGAAGTTTTGTTTTCTTAAATAAAGTGAGTTTTAACAGGTAAAAAACACGCTTTGATGGATACCTGATCAAAAAAGAGAAAGTGAGAAAAACGAGAATGCATCTCAAAATGATGATATGGGGATAGGCTGAATTGGTATGTTTGAAGCTAAGATTCATAGAAATACTTGGTAAAACAAGTTTCAGGTATACATTGTAAATAAGTAAAGGGACGTAGAAAGAAATGATGTTTTGGTTGCAGGAAAAAAAAGACAGATATAAAGATATTAGAAAGAAATTGAAGAGAGGACAAAAGAAATTGAGAGCGTTTGATGAAGAGGGGGGAATACATGCTTGATGATAGACGATTATTTGAAGGATCAAGTGTTGCTTTGATTTAAATCAACATTAATAAACTGATTCAATCTATCAGAGTATTGGCCATAAGATTCGACATCGTTATGGCCAGCTCCTTCCAACCATAGAGGTTCAACAGCACGGGGGCATTTTTCGTACATAGCTAAACCGTGTGAAAAGTCAATTATTTCATCTTCAGTTCCATGGATAACTAAAACGGGTGATGTTATTCTTGGTGCTTTTTCAATGCTGTAATTATAAAATTTCAAGTTAAAACATTGAATTGGAGATGGACAAAAGGTCAATAAAAGGTTAGGGTCAAAATCAATTGATTCAATTGTAAAGACCAATAGTTGAGTAAAGATGTATTGATTACAACCATAGTTTACATCCAAATGATCCAGGAAAATTGATATGCACAGTTATAAACATCAACGAATAGGTGTTGGTATATCATATTGGAAAAATAAAGGTAGAGAGAAAATGAATTAGTGCTTTGTCATATGGAGTAAAAAGAGAAGTTTGTTGAAGAAAAGGGGCGAGGGAAGAAGTGGAAGAAGAAGAAAATAGAGAAAAAAGTATAAAATGAAAAAAAGGAGTCAATCACCTTGGGAATGCGTCAAAGAACCAGGTTCGTTTAATGTTTGAGAAAGCAACTCTCATACCGGACGTAAGTGGCGAGTGTAGTATCACAGCACCAACCTCATAACGAGAGGCAAGGTCAACTGTAGGCACAGTACCTATTGATTGACCATAGAGTATAATTTTCTCTGGGCTAATACCGTAATGAGACCTCAGGGCCTGCCAGGCGGCATCAATGTCTGCATATAGGTTCTTTTCTGAAGGTTTACCACTGGAGACACCATAACCAGAATAATCATAACTGAATATATTACAATTGATTTCAGAACCAAGTCCTAGATAGAAACTGCTCATCTGACCCAGATCAACAGCATTACCATGGCTAAAAAGGATGGTGAACTTTGGATTGGGGCAGGCACGAACATACATACAAGCAATACGATTACCTCGGGAGGAACGGGCAAAAAAGACCTCAATTTGATCTAATTCCCTTGGAAGATATTGCCATTCGGCTCGTTGGCTTAAATCAAGTGTAAATTTATTATTTTTCTCATCCAAAACAAAATTGTAAGTTGGTTCAGGTGGGAGAAATGCCAACTTGGCTGCTATTCTACCTGGACACGGAGGGCAGCAGAAAAGGCAGCAAAATCCACTAAATGAGAATCCGTTCATGCTTGATCCATGGAATATTTTCTGATGACACACAGGATAATCCTTAATTAAACCACAATCCAAATCACCAAGTTAATAGATAAAAATTCAATAAGGTAAACAAAAACAATTGGACACAATTAAATTTTCATTCACCCTAAACAAAAAATAAGACAAGAAATAGCTGCACAAAGATGCAATTGTCTCTCATTTGAGTTTTTTTCCTGTTTTCTAATGCTAACAGATGGAGCAAGTTTCGATTTAAAAAATTTTGATGAATCGTAAGTTCAGATTGAAGTCTTCTATTGTATTAAATTCAATTCCTAATTTGTAAGTTAAATCTTATCGAAGATTAACCATTAAATCTTCTAACAATTTCAGTCATTCAATAGATTATACTGACTTATCGATCGAACTTTGATTTCTTAATCTGTTTTTCTAGTTTTCGATTGGGATAGATTTGGAGTTGCTATTCATCTGATTATTCATTGTACATTTTATTTTATATTATGTGATTGCTCATCAATTGTAAATTTTGTGATGAATTCACAGATAGTATTTTTGTTCGTGTATTTATTATCTTAAGGCTACCAAAAAACATCCCTTACTCAATTATTTCACCATGTGTATGAAAATTATAACAAAAGATAAGGTTCAATTGACTTGTTGAAATGTGTTTGCGACATGTTTTATTAAACTAGTTGTTATACTAGTACACAAAGGTAAGGACAATAAGAACAATTCAGACAAATTATAATTTGATCAGATTAATATTTATCAATCATTCGTGTAGCTGCCGCCTCAAATCATGGGAATGTGAAAGCATAATTTGATAATAAGACATGAAGTTAGGTCCATCAAACAAGAATGAAAGTAAACCATGATTGTACAATGTAATCGCAGATGTGGAATCATCAATACCAAATTTCCATCATTTCCTCTGCGAATTGGTCGAGTGTTCTGAGGTCATTCCTGTTGGTTCTACCGATTTTGATATCAGTCGATGGAAAGCATTACGATATTGGGGGTTCATGATGAAGTAAATCAATGGGTTCACCGACGCACTGAATAAAACCAGCCATAAAGATAAAATGTAAACGTAAGGATGCCTAAAAGCAAATACAAAAAAATGATTTAATACAGAGAATGAAAAATCTACAATTAGCAGATTCATGCAGTTTGTACTCCTAGAAATTTTTTACTTGAAGTGCATATTAATAGTTTTGTTTTTTTGTCCTGAATCAACAGATTACCAACTGATCAAAGTATTACTTCTTAACGTGTATGGATGCTAAATATACTCTGTTTACCTTTTGGATTATCGTGAAGCTTGATTTAATTAAATAATCGAAAAGAAGGAAAAGATTTGTTCCCATGTCAAACAAGGAAAATAAATGTAAATTATCTTTCATAATGATTGGAATGGTCTCTTACCTTACTGGAGCTGATGTTATTTGCAATATAACTGAAGGTGCATAGCAAATGACGAAAACCGCGAAAATGGTGAACATTAATTTAGTTAATCTCATTTCTCTCTGGCTACGATTGATTCCCTTGTCAGCTAAGTTTCGAGTATGAGAACGAACCTTAAACCAAATGATCCCATAGCAGATGATGATTGTTAAACATGGTATTACAAAGCTAATCAAAAAAAGGAAATCTTTCAATGCTTCACTCCCCATGATTGTGCAGGTTAAAAGGCTGGCTTGATATCCAAAGTATCCCCAAGTATGGGTCAAAGGTAGACAAAGGATAGCAAATGGTAATACCCAAGTAATTATCACCATAATGCACAGATTTCGATTGGAATAGAAACTGTTGGACTGAGCATTGATAATAATAATGACCAATCTGTGAAGTTAAAATAAAATATCAAAGTTGGACGAGATTCAATCAATCTTGAATATTGTAAAAAGAAACAATTTCATGGTGATTTCAAAACCTAATTTTCTATCTTCTATTCCAAGGAATGACTCGCCACTAGAGACAACAATTTGATAATCATCCTAACATTAATGTACTGGCAATATGTCTAGTGATAGCTGAAATTCAGTTTATATCCGTTTAAACATTTGCTTTCTTTTGGATATGAAAAGCACAATTTAAAGGAAATGAATGTGAAAAGATCGGTAAGATAAAATTGAAAATTGTTTTGGTATTGTATTAATCAAACTGTTTCTTTCGTTTAATTTTTAGGGATGAATTGGGAAAAATTGGTTACCTGTTGATTGCAATGAAAGTAATTGATAAAAGAGAAACTGCAATATTTCCATAGTAAAAGTATGGATATAAATGGCAAATCAATTGACCGAAAGGCCAATTACGAGTAAGAAATGGAGTCGCTGTTAATGGTACATTGAAAAGGCAAAATATAAGATCCGAAGTACTTAAATTGATCACCAGTTTAGTTGTTGGTTGTTTAATCAAACTTGCCGAATACTTGGTCAAACACAAAATGACCAGAAAGTTACCGATGGATCCAATAATTCCAATCAACAAGGCAATCGAAAAGGTTACAATGGCTTCCGTTTGATTGGATATAATCATTATGAACTAGTAAAGCTTGACTAGTCAAGTTAGTTGACTTGAAAAATCACAATTTTACATGTTATTGGTTAAATGGTTTTATTCATGGAAAAGTTAATAACGATTGGAATACACTTCACTGATTGCTTAACAACTTTCAATCAAGGAAGACTAACAATGAGAGCAATATCGAGATAAAAAATATGAAAGTGAGATGAAATTATAAATATGATGTCAAGGAAGCGGAAACTGATGGTGGAGTTACTTGTTAAAAGAGCTTTTTTCAGTGAATTTATCTGGGTTGACACAAAATTCAGATTTTGGCTATTTTATGATTAAAATGCAGTCAGAACCACTTTTGAACTGACTTTGATAAAAGTCGAAACACAGAAACTAGAGTAAATTTTGGTTGACAAATTATTTGAGAGTTTCCATGTTTCTCATATCTTCGGATCTCTGATCATTAGATGAATTGTCCTCGCTTGTTATAACATATGGTTTTGAATGATATTCACGATGTTTTTCGTCTCGATGACCATCATAATAATAATTTTCATATCTTTTAGCATTTTCGTCTTCACGTCTCCTTGAATTGATTCGTACTCGCAGTCCTCTTTGGCTTTTCCTCAACCTCCGCAGATCTTTCCACTTCCTTCGTGGTTCGCTTCTGAAATCATATTCAATGAATGGGATCTCACCTCTTGTTTCACCTCTAATTGAGTAATGATTTACAAATGATTGATAATTATTATTTGAGCATTATTATTACATATGTTGGAAAAGTTTCTACTTACAATTTACTGTCCATTACCTGTGGATTGAGACTCTTGTCAAGCTGTCCAACTGTTAATGACACCAATTGATATTTGGAGTAAATTAAGGAATCATGATTAACTTCTGGTGAAACTCTAAGATAACAATGAGCTAAAAGGGTTTGAAGCACAATAGTACTGGGGACAAGAAGTAAACGATTCATCTTTTAAATCGCTATTAAACTTTGATTAAACGGTTCTGGGTTTATGCCATTTCATTTTTGATGGCTTTATATATAGCCCATTGAACATCTTGTATATTTGATTAGCTGTAATTATTAGTTAAAGGACATTGGACTACTTTGATAGGTTAATGATGATTTGTAACAATTTTTCTTCCGATCAAATTAAACAAATGCAAAAGGAAGTTTATATTATACATTAGATTATTTTGTATTGAGAGACAAATAACAATTTCAATAATACAACAATTTGCTTAGCAAAAGTTGACTGGATGTAATAAGGCAACAAGGAAATTTAAATAATTATGTTCCAATTAGAAATTTCATTAAAATGAATATTGATAGATTTACCTTAATTGAGTTATCGATTACCTAAAAGGGAAACCTTACATTTTTATTGTTTTAATCAGACAAACGGTACTCGAAAATTAATAAATATCTCTCAATAGTCCTGAATCAAGACGAAGTGTTCGAACTTTAAGACTGTTACTCAATTTTTATAGAAATTTTCAAGTTAATTGAGTTTATTACGTTTCTTTGCCAAAGCTTATGACAATATTTCCCTTTTATCATACCTTTATGAAATATTGTAACGATCTTAAAACCAACTCTTAATCTTTCAACAAGTCGACTCTTAATGGTTATGAGATAATCAAAATTCCTGCGTTAAGTAATATAAAAGGTAACCTTAAAATCAGATGTACTAGCAAAATTGTATCCATTCAACAAAATGTATATTTTCAATAAAATTCTGAGTCAATAAATTGGGTTCAATTTTGGTTCGTTTGTTGCAGTCAAAAAGTAACCGGTTATTTTTTAGCCATGAAAAGTAACTGTTAGAGTAACCAGATTTGCTTTTCTCTCTTCACTCTAACCAAGTGAGCGGTTACCAGTAACCAATAGTAATGAAGATAGTGAAAACATGTGTGTTAAATTGTTAAAATGTTTTAGATTTAATTTCTAACTTAATTTCTATTAAATTTGTCTAAATAGCATTTTCAGATAATCTACACCATGAGAGGGAAGTATAAGCTTCCAAATCATTATATTCATCCTAAATATTGTGACCTATGGAGCTTTGGTAACGAAAGTGTTCAATTGAATGGGCATATAGAAAATGCTCCTTACCAGGGCTTTGGAAGGTGAGAGCGTCTTTTACAATTTACCTAACTTTGATTGTCAAATTTGATTAGAATTTGTTGGTTCTAATTTATGTTTTACTCATCCAATCTTTTTTCATTTCAGGTATGTTTGTCAATTGCAACGAGTAACTCTGAAGTTTTGCAAATGGGGAATAGGTAGTAAAGGTACTCGGGATTATATTGAAACGGAACTGGTCGATTATTGTCGAACCAACCCTGGTGTGGTTGTTTATCTTAAACCAAGAAGACATAAAGCTCCTGTTATGGTTTGTGAATATCTAAACGGAAGTTATCATTGGATGGCTTTACATGGAATGTCTTCTGAACATATTAAGTTATGGGTTGATTTTCATACTAAACGCTCTGGAGAACCTATTCGTAAATTTGTTAAAGATGTTAGAACTGCTTGGCCATCTATTCAAGGTGCATGGAATCCATTTTTGAACACACCTAGTGAAATAAATGTCACACCGTTACCCAATGAAGAAAGAGGCAAACATATACCATTAAAAATATCAGCTACTGAACAGTTACTGCGAATGCAAGCTGAGGGTAAACTCCAAAATATTTTGTTTGGAAATGACGAATGATTAGCTAGTACCTGATAAGCTGATACAGTTTTTAAATCATTCATCCTTAGTAGTTAAAAGAACGGACGGATACACTTAGTTCAAATGAACGATGAAAGGATTGTTTGGAATTCATTTTTTATCGATTTGATATTAAAGAGCTTGAGGCTAGTCAACGTAGCTATGTCATTGTCGTTGTAGCTATCGAAGCATCTCAATTTCATATCCGTCATCTCTTCACTCAGCTTTTGTCAACTATTGAACTAAAATCCAACCCACAATCATTGCTGAAGGAATTTGGGAATTTTTTCGCCAACTGATGCTCGAAACTTCTATTTTGCCTTGCAATTTTCCGATGACTTGTTAAATAAATTCAATTTATGTCTAATTTGATTATCAAATGTTCATTTAAATTTTCTATCCACAAATGTCTTAGAATTTTGGATTGAAGATTTCTTTTTATGTATTAGTTAAAAAAATAAAAATCTGATATCCTAAAATAAAATTTTCGTTTATTGAAAAACATGTACACATAGATGACAGGACATAGGTCATAGTGATTTGTATACGCTATTGCTGGATCAGATTAAGACATAAAAAGGTGAAGTGAGATAAAATCATTTAATCATAACGCATATTTAACTTTCTCATTTCTACGGCGATTTCAAACAAATATTCATAGCATTCAGCCATAGTTTTCGCTCCTTGCCAAGACGGGCCCCAAACATAGACACCATGTCTCCGAACAAGAACTGCATTTGTATCAGGATATTTCCTAATTGCATCAGCCATCTTTTCAGTTAACTCTCGCTCATAGCAAGTATTTTCAATTATAGGTACGATTAAGGTTTCATCGTTTCTATGAGACACTAAGGCGGATCCTTTTCTTATCCCTTTAATCATTTCTTGTCTGGTGATTCTGAACTCCGTTCCAGGTGTTATCACAGTAACCAGATTGGAGTTGATTGAATGAGAATGTATAACGGCTCCAGCATTTCGCATTCGATAAGCGTTAAGAAATAATGGTGTACACTCACTCATTGACAAATTACAGTTTAGCGGCTTTTCGATAATTTCACCTACAGCGTCAATCACAAATATATCCTCTGGTCGCATCATTTCCTTTTGAACACCTGATGGAGCAATGTAAATCTTATTGCTTATTTTGATACTCATACCTCCACCGGTACCAGAGACCCAGCCAAGGCGATAGAAATTATTACATAGGTAAGGAATTAATCTCTTTGGGTCAGTTTCGATAGGAGCCTCTTTGGAGCTAATAGTGGCTTTTGTTAAATCCATGATTTATTCACAAATGTTGAAAAACGGAGCAAAACTGGAAAAATAATTCAATTTATTAAATCACAGAAAGATTTATATAGTTACTAATAAAGAGCAAAGTCTTCGCTCACTCTCTTTAAGAGATACAGCCATTGGTTATTCACATGATACAATGTGACAATCTAATTGTTAGTTTGGCGGTAATATTGATAATTTATTTTCCCAATCAGATGGTTGTAATTGTTAATTAATAATAACACTTAACGATAAAGATATTCAAATATCAGATTAATTTGCTCAACAGAGACTAATTGCATATTACGAACGAACATTAAAAGTGACTACTTATTTGATTGCTGTTACAAAATGAATTGTGTAAATCATACTCAAATGAACACCAATCATGCATATTAATCAAACGTTTTATTATGAAATAAATTATGTCAAATGATTATTACTCAAAGATCAATCCATCACAGATAAATTTAGTAAGTTTCAGATTCTATGCAATTTATTTTGATCACAATAATTTACAATGGTTGAAAACAAAATTAACAAAAGCTGAAAACAAGATGAAATGGATGATCCAATAAATTTAATGACTATAAAAGGCCAAATTAATGCCGCAACCGAGTTTTGATATCAATTAATGATCTAAACTATCCTTTATTTGGCAATAAAAATGGACAAAATTACGAATTGCTTTAACATCAGTTTCACTTGAATCAATTGCAATAATTTCTCGGCCAGTATCAATTTGATTATCGAGCAAAAAAACCAGTGAACCTTTACGATCCAAGATATCTGTAAATTCACTGATGTCAACCTCAATTGTTTCATTTTTAGGTTGATTTTTAATCAGCTCTTCTAGTTGCTGACAATTTTTAATTTTAACTGCTGTTGAGTGGCGAGTTATTTTTAACTTTGGTTCCATCTTTTTAGTCTCAATTTTAACCTCAATCAGTTTATTGATTGATCTAAAATATTCAACAAAGTAGTCACTTATATCCTCGTAACTGTGAAAATCAAGAATAAGATCCAAATCTTTTCGTGTTTGATCAGCTCTGATTAGGTTAACAGCAACATACTCGTAATCAAAGTTAACAAAATTTGGTCCTTGTTTTAGGTAAAGGCAATCACGGAATAGGTTTATCCGATTGGGCACCAAGTTGATGATATATTTTGATTTTGAATCGTTAACATCAAAACAAACAATTTCCTTCTCAATCAACTGTCGAACCCAATTGTTGGTAATCACATTTGCTAATTCACTGAAATATTTCTTCAAGAATCCAGTATCTTCCCAACGACCATCATCAGCTTCAGCTAACAACTCTTTCGATGATTTCCTTGAAGGATTGTTATTAACCTCTTCTGGTAAATCAATCAATGACATGGACGTATCATTGATACTTTCAACCTCAGTCTGGACTGAAGGTGGTTCCTCTTGATCGTCTTTTTTCTCACTGTCAACATCTTCGACTATTTGCTTTGTATCACTTTCAGTGTTTTCATCAGCATTTTGTTTCATCTCTTCACTTTCCTCGTTCTCCTGGTCCAGAGATCCTGTCAATTGTCTGACGCGAGTTTTAATATTTTTAATGATCAACTCCTCGACATCCAGGTAAACATAATGCCAACCAAATTGATCTTTAACTCTTTCTCCTCGCTTTAAATCATCGTTGAGTAAATCAAATATAAATTCACCTTTGTTGGAACCATAACCACCTAAAAAGATAGAGAAATGAAAAAAGCTAAAATTAATAACTCAATTGGTACATTGAATATTGTTACTTACCAAAAACGAAGATACATTTGTAATCGGAATGATTATCATCCCTGAGAAAATAGAGCAACTCATGAGCGTCTTTAATCAATTCAATAGTTTGAGTGTTCATTACGTTGTTTTGGGAAGATTCAATGATTGTTAGGTAAGATTTACTTAAACGACAGCCCATGATATTGGATCAATTAAAATGTTACAAAAGTGTGAAAATGATGAGAATGATGATGAAAATGCTAACCAACAATCAAGTCCACTATTCATCGCCTTCAAAGGAGAGCCAAGAAATAGTTGTAGTATTTAGCACCTAATGATGAGGTTGAGAGATGCAAAATCAACTGAATTAAGCTCAAGTTAGGTTGACTGGTTAATTGAGCAAATGAACCAGCGACAAGTATTTTCTAATAAGAAACTGACCAGACAAGTGATAAGATGAAGAGAAAGGCTAAGGTGAACCAAGAAATAGGTGAATTCGTTTTCTGATTCTGTTGACTCTCTCTTTGTTTGATGATTACCTTCTCACAAGTTAATCATCTTTAATAGTCTAGCAACACGCTTCTTCGTAGCAATTGGATTTTCATCAATCCCCTTGGAAATAATACGATCAGTTTCAAAACAAAACGAGACTCCACCTTCCATTAACTGGAAACAGCAGTGAGAAGGAAACACTACATGTTATTAGGCTTAATTCATTTTTTCTTCTTGCTTCTTGTCTTTCCATTTCCACAATATAATATTCACAATGAATAGCTTCACTATCACCATTATTATTATTACCTTCATTACAATCATTATTATTAACATGCCCACCATGGTCATCAGAAGGGATAGAAGAGTATCAACCAGGTTCACCATATTGACCGAGTGGTGATTATTTGTCAGATATTTCTCTAGAGAAATATTAACCATACCAATGAAACAATATGAGAACAGTTGAACCGTAAATTATTATCGAAACATCTTACACAAATCATTCCAAAGTTTATCCAATTGAAGGTAGATTCAGTTGGCTTTCATATAAAACCTGAGAACACAAAAGGGTTTTCCACTTGTTTACCCTGACTTGATCCTGATCAAGGCTACCATTTAAATTGTAAATACTTTTCCAATTGGTGTGTAAACTTGATCGATTACTTATAAGTTATAACAGCAATTATCCCAATTAGTGATTAGTGGTAATCGAAGAGAAGATTGGTCCAGAGTATAAATCGTTTCTTTGCCAAACCTGTCTTCTTTATCTTTTGTCACAATCCTAGGTTTTGACTACAATCGGCATTCAGCTCTTAGGATGAGATGTAATCTAATATTAAATTAACTGTTTGAAAGAAAGAAATTAAAAGCGCAAACTGAAAGGTAATTTGATTAGGGCAGTCTCATGATAGAGGTAACGTGTTAAGTCCATTGAGTATAAATTAATTCATCACAGATGACTTTGAATAAGATTTATGCATTCTAATGGCATATTAATAGTTGGTTGAATTTTAAGTTTGATAAAAATGGTTATAATATTGTTACCAAATCCAGTGAGACAATTAAAATCTTTATGCAAGTAGGCTTTAAAAGCAACTTTTAGTTCATTTTGCCTGGAAAGTTATTCATTGAAAAAGCTTTCACGCTAAAAGTAGAAACAGTTATTTAATGTTAATGTATTTTACAAACAATGTACTGATAATCAGCCATAACGAGTCAACTGATTTATCAGTCTGCAAATTAATTAAGTACTCAGAACTGTTTTAATTAAAGCTAACATAATTTCACAATATCATGAAAGCTTGGCCTCCAATAATTGTTAAATAACTACTCAACCAGTTTCAATGTTACATTAGATTTATAGATTGGCTCTTGATAAGTTTCATTTTTTGTACCATGTTGGCAATAACTTTGATACTTTTATTAACTAAAGTGTATTCATCTCTGAGCTATGAAAAATTGAACTGTGGTAAGTACAATAATAACTCAAAATATTGATAATTGTCTCTACTTCTTAATCTTTTAGGCTAATAAGCTGAAAATAAATACGATTCACTTATCGTCTTTGCAACAATTAATCTTTGTGTTTTCCTCTGTATACTTTTTTAGATTGTGGGATTGAAAGTGTTGACTCTAAGATCGTCAATGGAACTGAAGCTACTCCCAATAATTACCGATGGATGGCTGGAATTTCTGGTCGTAATTTACAGAATGTCTTCTGTGGTGGAACACTAATAAACAACCGATATATCTTAACCGCTGGCCACTGTTTTACCGACGTTGATCCATCAAATGTACGCATTATCCTAGGAGCTCATGATTTAACCAAATTACAAAATGCTTCAATATACACAGCTGATAAGATTATTGTCCATGAAAAGTATGAACCCAATTCTTCTCATCAAAGGTATGACATTGCTTTGATACGATTGAACAGGAATGTTACCTTTACAAATAACATTGGACCAGTGTGTTTACCTCCAAGAAACATGAAACGAAGCTTTGGTTCATTTAAGGTAATTGGTTGGGGTTCATTGGGTGAAGGTAAAGAAACGTCAACTCGATTAATGGAAGTAATTGTTAGAGAAAGGCCATTAAATGTTTGCCAAAAGCTTCTTACTGATTCAAGGATAACAATTGATCACATCTGTGCTGGTGATTCCACGTATGATTCTTGTTCAGGAGATTCGGGTGGACCTTTGATGAGCAAAATTAGAGGAAGAGTTTACATTGTTGGTTTGGTTTCGTGGGGCGTTGAATGTGGCCATAAAAGCTATCCAGGAGTTTACACCAGAGTATCTTCGTACGGAATGTGGATCTATCAAAACTCTAGAGAAGCTCTTTATTGTAACAATCAAGCATTTCACAATAAGTCCTCCGGTTGACAATCAAATATTGCATCAGAAATGTGATATAAAAGGCAAGATCTGATTGTTATATATTTTATGTAAACGACCAATAATTATTTATTAATTGTATTGGCTACTCAATAGTTTCCTTTATGCATTCTCATCATCTAAATTTGATGTATTTAGATTGTCAATGTTGAAGGAAAACAGTTTAATGATTGATTAGATCGTGATGTGAATAACTTAAATGTTACTCTATTATGTTTGTTTGTTTTTCTTGTTCATGATAGAGGAAATGTTGTCAATAATCTGTTGCTGTTCAGATGATACAGTTTTCACTGATTTTATTGTCATTTAAACATGTCTTTTTATTTCGTTTTACTTTCAGGGTTATCAATGAATGTTTACAACTTCAAAAGATTGATAACCAATTCAAGGTTGATTTTAGAATCTGATTCAATAGGTTGGAAGATTCTGGATACGTCAAACAATTATTTAATCAACAATAGAAACCTTTCAATGAAGGTTGAAGCAGGTTTTTTCCTGGTGAACCAGAAAACCAATCAAGAAAAGTGTTCAATTAAACGCTGATATAACGCTGATTAGCTGATGAAATGTTGCTTCTAATGTTATGTCAACTCTGGTTACTTCTGTATTGCATGATTAACAGTATTAATCATGTTAAATTTGGCTTTGCTCCGAGTTTATTAATGTCACCTTGAACTTGATGGAAGAAACCGATGTGATTTAAGTTCTTATGGAAACTTTACATCATGAATTACTCAGCCAACTTAATAAAACGTGATCAAATGTAAACATTAAAGAGCATGATTTAAACAGAAAATTAAACACTCGGTTAAATATCAACTTTGAATTGAAAAGACCTGAAATGAAATGAACAGAGTTGAATGGTTTATTTTTTCATTTATTATATTTTTAAACCAGAAAACGCAACCGATAAGAAAATCAAAGAGATATCAATAAGTGACAAAGCAAATAAACGAAAATTACAATAGAAGACAGAAAGAGATGAAAACATTGATTCTAGTGAATGATGATGTTACTTTCAAAGGATTTGTCTCGTGGCTTTTCAATTCAGATGTGTAATATAGATTAATTACACATGACTAAATATAATCAGCGAAAACAATTTGAAACTGTCACACAATACAAATAAAAAAAATAAATACCTAAAGAGGCCAGAAATGCACAACAAAAGTGTAGGCTCAAATTTTTTTCAAGCTTTGAGTAAAAAAATATCATGGTTAAAACTTGAAGATTCAGTTTAGGAAAAAATAAGTTTCAACTCAGGACAAAAATTTTTCTCAAAAATTTCTCTTTGATGTAAGTCAAAAACAGCAAGCACATCAATTTCAAGTCTAAATTGAGTCTCTAATTGATTTCGCTTTCGAAAAGATGTCTTGGCTTTTATTGATGATCCATTTCTTGATTCGTTGAGATCACGAGAGCAGCATCGAAAAATTAAACTCTTAATTTAATAGACATCTCGATTTAACTCCTGAAAATATAATTATTGTACAGCTTCCATTTTATGGCAGTTCAAATTGGCACTTTAATAAAATTCGTATTCACGCTAAATTACTACCAAAGTACATCAACTTTTTTATCCCGCTGTTTTCCTCGTGATTTGGTTCGTGCTTTAAATGAAGCTATGTTTTCCATTTTCTTGAGATTGATAGAAAGAAAAAGAAAAACATTTTAATCAATTGAATAGTCCAACAGTGAAATCACTCATGTTAAAAACAAAAATCGACAAAGATCCATAGTTAAGGAATAAAACGAAATCGGCAGAAAAAATTCAAGAGGTTTTCTTAACGATAGTGATGATGAAAGGGAAAATGATGAAATAGCGGAAAAAATCATAACTAAACATATAGAGCATTCTGACGAGCTTATTGCAATTCTAATAAATAGAACTTGAATTGTAGCTTTTAGATTTTTAGAGCTTAAAAGTGATTGAATCGGGAAAAGCAATTTCTGCTTTATAATACACTGCTTTGTTTTTTACTGCAATCATAATAACTGTATAATTATGTTCAAGTTAACTGAACTAAAAAACGAAATTAAAACTGGTTTGATGACTGACTTCGATAAGTAAACACGACACATGCTCAGCTATTGAAAAACAACATGATAGAGAACTTACCCTTTGAAATTTACTGATTTTTTGAACTGGTTCATCTATTGGTAAAGGAGGTCCTAATTCAAAAACATCTCGTAAAAGATCGTTTTCTTTGAGATGAAGATTCATTCCAGATCCAAGAACATGACAGAAGGCATCGTACTGTCTTCTACGACACCAAGAGTCAATAAATAATCTTTCGCGACCAAATTTAACAGTCTCTGAAGGTAATTCGTCATCTTCAATGAACTTGAGAACATCTCGAAAGCTTGAACGTTGCTTCTTTCTATCTTTCTTAGCTCTAAACTTTTGACTATCAGTGGCTAATTGTCGTAGTTTGTCAGTTAGAACAGCGCTAGGTGATATATCCATCCGAGCTTCACGGCAAATCTCAAAGATGACAGCGATTGTTTCACCAGCTGCTATTCTTAGTTCAACATCACTACTATCTAATAGCTCTATCAATTTAGATAAGTATTTATCAGCGAATCGAGAAACGTAACTGGCTGGTTGAATGGTGCACAGAAGACTCCAAGCATAAAGAGCAGCTGCATGAAGAGCTGTTGTTTCTGGGCCAAGATTGGGAGCTACACCGTTACCTTTGAAGTATGATGCACTGAATAATGTGTGGAGAGATTCAAGGATCTCGTCACAGCTTTCAGAACCAGATCCAGCGATGAAACAACAAAGACCTAAAGAGGTGGCAATATGAGATCTAACACTAGCTCCAACGCTTTTGTCCATTAGAATGGTCATCATAGTAGATTTTAACTCATTGAAAATAGCATCAGTATCATCGCCAGATCCCAAGGATACACAAACGATGGCCGCTAAAAGGGCGGCAGAACCTTGTTCTTCTCCTTTCCCTTTTTTGATGCATCTTTCGACTATATCACAAATGGTTGATCGTCTAAATAAGAATTAAAGATTTAAGTTAATAAAGGAATATAAAAAATATAAGCATAAATATTGATAGTTTTAATGCATAATCAAACAAGTTTCACAGAGAGTAAAAAATCTTACCTTTCTGAAACGAATTCAAGGGCGTATCGAGATACAAAGGCCTTACGTATAGCAGCAAGAGCAGTTACACGAGCCTTGGCAGCTTTCAAATAGGTTGCGTCCATTGCAGCAACTAATTTATCCTTAAAATCATCCTCTGTCTCAGGTTCCTCGTTAGTACCATCGAAACCAATACCTTCTTCATCCTCTTCAAAACGAGAAGATGACATAGAGTATAAAGAACAACACTCATCTTTAGAATCTGTACTTGGAGCCATGATGAAATTGGTTTATAAACAAAATCAAGTAAGGAAGGATGCACAGAAAAAAATATTTCAATATAAATATTTGAAATTAATAAGATTACTAATAATTTCGCTCTCTTGTTTTCAACAAATCAAGTGAGTAGAGAGAATCAAAACTTCAATTAATAGTTAGCTATATTAAAATAAATAACAAATGAGCACAATTGATTATAATTTTTCATTTATATTAAAATGTAGATGAAGATTACGACCATGAGATGAAAATGTGATCAAAAAATGCAATCTGTTTTGACACCACTTTTGAGTGCTGCCATCTATTAGTGTGATTAATGCATGCAAATTTCAGCCTTTTCGGTAATCGAAGCATGAATGGAATCGATTGACCAATTTTTCAAGAAATAATTTGATGGTTTGAATATCTGTAATCGAGTTATTATTTTTTGATAAAATGTTTGCCATTCAATCAAATGACCAAGAATTAAAGTATTCTAGTCAGTTTAAACAGTTCCTTGCCTTTTGACAATTCTTATTTTTGTCTTATTATTGTGCCAACGGAATTGCAGTCCAAAATTTAACATTTATTGGACAGAAAATAAATTTTCATTAGATTTTCTTTTAAACCATTAATCATCTGATTATTTTTGATTTAATTCACACATATTTTAATGACTTCTCTAAATACAGTTTGGCTGACAAAAATGAACTTCGACTTATTGAAATATCAATATCTTATAAGACTGACAATTGTGAGATATAAAACGCAAATTGATCTGAACCAATTGCCCATAAATGAACTTTCATCAACGCATTGAAATTTGCCATTATTTGATAGCCTACAATTATATCTATTGTGTTTGAAATTGATTTGAGATATAATAATGTTTGAGGTTTGGAGGGAGAAAAGCTGAATTTTTTGATAACAAAAACGACAAAGAAGCAATATTTGTTTAATAAGATTGAACGAGGCTATTTTTGTTAGCTTTCGTGATGACCATTCTAATTACAGGTGTACGAAAATTGATTACAATAATCCCAATAATGTAACTTGAAAATTATTGTACAAGTCCAAATAGTAAATGCTCGATTGTAATCATATTTTGAACCAAAGTAACTTCACCAGATTATAACCAAAGGCCATGTAAAAACATCGATAGTCATATTTAATCAAAATGTTATCACGATTTAATGAAAAACTTCTGGAATTCGAGTCAAACGAGTTTAATATTTTAAATCACTTTCAACAGAAATCAAATCAGTTCATAAAACCAACAGACACCAATAAGTTTCACCTTTACAACACATTAAACAATGAATACAAAGTGAATTGGGAAAATATTTTGAATCCACCAGGAAACGGTTATCTACAGCCATCATCGCCAATTGAACCACTCAACTATAAGGATCCAATTTATATTGATAAACAGGAAAATTTAAAATTACCAGGAACCAAAGGAGATGAAGACGAGAAGAAAGATGTTAAAAAAGAGGAAAAGAAGGATGACAAAACGACCCAAGAACCAATTAAACAGCCAGATCAGCCGAAAACAATACAAACATTAAAACCTCAGCGGCTGAAAAGTGGCTCATCTAAAGTACGCTGGTCTCTAAGTGATCACCATGATGATGATTCCCTTGATCTTTCAATTTTTGAACATGAAAATCACAACAGATTACAATTAATTTTTAAATTTGTGTTCCGTTTAAAAACTGTTTTATTAATTTTAAGTGTCATTGGATTGGTTTACCAAACGCTGGAGTTGTCTGAAACCTACTTTCGCTATCCAACAATTGTTGATGTTATTGTTGAACAAAATGATAAAGTGATTGTCCCTTCAATAACCATTTGTACACCCATGCAAATAATGCCCAGTAATCTGGAGAAGATGTTTTCTGATCGACCTGAGGTTCGTCGAGTTTTAAGTCGTTTTGATGCAGACGAAAAAATGAAAACAAAGGAAAAGCAGGCGAAAAAAATTGATTACTTGCGCCGTTACCTACAATCTAGCTATTTAAGTCGCGTGACCGTCAATTTGTCAACTTACGATGAATTGTCTGTCCAAGAAAACAAATTTGTTGACTCGTGTTACCTATCAGTTCTTAATTCATCTGATGCTGAGATCAGGTTACCGTGTAGAAATTTTTCCAGGCCAACAGTGACTTTCACGTCAAATGAAAAGTGTTTTACTTATTTTGGTGTCACAAACAAACAGATAGAATCAATTGATGATGTTATTTCATTTGACGAAGATGGATCAGCTGCTACAGCACAAATTTCTGTTGTTTTAAGACTAAATGTTGACTTTGATGATAATTATGACATTTCCCTGCCCAGCCTTCTCTACATCCACTCTTCAAATGAAATTATGGCTAAATCAAATGGCTTTGCCTTGGAGTCCAACAAGAAGTATAATGTCTTTTACTGGAGAACTGTTTCCGAGCGATTACCTCCGCTTTATTGTCGAGAATATCAGTCTTCAATATTATATCCACAATCACAGATAGATTGTGTTAATAGATGTTCAACTGAGCACACTTATCTATACTGTCGATGTCTAATGTTTAAACCACCCTTACGATTAGAAACAGTCCCTTTATCGGCTAGGATTTGTCCTCAATTGGATGGTAGTTTTTTGCGCTCTTGTAAACGAATGCTGCAAGGTCTTGATCCTAAAGCTTGTAGATCTAGATGTACTTCTGCTTGTATCGAGGAAGCGTTTGATTATAGCGTAACTACTTCTGATATTTCTCCTGAAGAAGTTTTAAAAATAAGCGGGTCCATTAATCAATCAGGTTTAATTGAGATTCATGTTACCAGAAAATTGAAGCCTGATGTTTTTTATAAACAAAAGTATCAGCTAGAATTTGAACAATACTTTTCCAATTTTTGCAGTTTACTCGGTTTTTGGTTAGGGATAACTGTCCTCACCTTTTATGATCAGTTGAAGAAGAATACAATTAGACTGTACAGGTTATTATGTTACGTAAAAACTAAAATCAAGCACAAAAAACGAAGAGTTAAGCCTAAATCTCGTAACATTTAGTAATCTAGAGCAGCTTCAATGATTTAAGCATATAACGCAAAATATTGACGATTAAAAAGAAAAATTACAATAGAAACTCGAAAAGGCAGAATATTGCATTCGTTAATGTATAAAATTCGATTGATATCAATTGATGACCAAATATTGTAGGAATTGGATAAAGAATTCAATAGATTGATATTGATAATGAAAAGATTTAATCAATATTGCTAACATGTAAGTCTTGAATATTAGGCATATACCAATCGATGCAATGTTAGGTGAAAAATATCAAAATGTATTACAGTCATAATTTTTTAATCAGGACATATCAGGATGTAGTTTAAGCCACCGTTGAGAAATTTGAAAAACGCAACATTTAAACAAATTTCATCACTAGTTACTTGTAGATATTGAAATATTTATTTTTGGTAATCATCTCGATGATGGAAGGGGTAATCGGAAGCAAGAAATACAACAATTAAAGGATAAATTGAACAAGTCAGAGCAATCCACTAATTTTAGATAACATCTAATCAATGTAAATAGAAATACGGTTCACTTACAGAAGGTGATTGAAATAAATAAATGATGCCGATCAGATATGAATTTATAAAATGATGTAATAAATTGGAAAGTTTCATTCTATTCTTAGTTTTTCATGAAAAAGTGACGAAATTTGTATCAATAAAGCTTTGATCAAATAGGATTAACAGTTGAAAGCTTGTATCTTCATTTGTTCAATAATATTGTAATCATTTTTAATAATGAAATATGATTTAAACGATTGAGTGAAATAAACTAGACTTAATATAGTCATTTAACATTGTAACAGCCTTTAAAAGCTACATTTGCAATTCTTTAAAACATACGCAATTTAAAATTCATAAAAATCAAGAAACTTTTTAAGATGAATGACTTGAGCACACCAATGAATCGCTGAGATTGGATGATGTGATTTTGATTGAACTTTCAGATTCGTTCAAAGTGAATGGATGCGGTATGTTGCATTCTGTGAGATAAAGTTGACCAGATAGGGTTGTTCGACACTGACCACCGTCAAGAATACAGTCTTTAAGATGAGTCTGGCCGAAATGAACTTGCAGGATACCATGAGATGGATCAGTCGTACGAAGAGTAATATTGGAGATATAAACCTCATCGGAAGCACAGTGTAGGAATATCTCACCAGTCGGGTCATTCGATTCAAGAACTACATCTTCCTTTTTTGCTGAAACACCCAAAATGCTAATATCTTTAGTAATCCAAAGTGTCGTAACGCAGGCATAATTTCCTGGCATGATTAGAACTTTATCTCCAGATTTTGTCGAAGCAAATGCTGAAGGCAAATCTTGGTGGAAAACCAAAGGAGAGGTGTTTCTATGAGGAGACTAAAAAGAGAATCAATTAGTTTTGATCTGCATGTACATATGAAATATTTCAAACTTACTTCGAGATTGTTGCTTGCTATTCTTGGATTTGCTTTCAAAAAAGACATTATCTTCTCAAGTACCGTCAAATTATATTTTACTGCAACAACATGGATTTTTTCTTGATCATTTGATTCTGTAGGAGCATCTACAACCATAACAATTCTTCGAAGAAGAGGATCTTCCAGCCGTGTCATCTCCAAATCGAAATCTTCCAATTTCATTTGAAGACGTAAAGATTCATATAAATCAAAGTCATTTATAGCAATTTCTTCGTTGGTTCCCCAATCACCACCTTCCAAGCCTTGGTTGACAGCTTCCATTCTTGTATTAACTTCTTCGAAACGAGCCTTTAACCGTGCACCTTCCTCGAGTAAATAGTTAATCCTATCAACAATAGGTTGATTAATAGAGCCACAACTGATCTCAAAGTATAATCTCAATCTTTCGGATAAGAAATTTTCAGCAAACGACTCAACGGAAGGTCGAGTAATAATATCATCCCATGGTCTCCAAATATGGCGATAGAAGAATCTAACATGTTCAATAACAACTGCAGTTACGGAATATTCATCATCATTTTCATTGATAACGTAGAGCTCGGTCAAAGGTACATTGACAATTTTCTGCTTCATAAGCTTTTCAATTTCAACTCTTTCCTCCTCGTTACAGTCACCCCCTGCCAATGATGGATAGAGTAGTTTGTCAATCGATACAGAAGCTTCCAAAGCATTGTGAGCAACATCCAAAACTTCAACTATAAAGTCACAAACGATCCCAGTCGAGTTGATACCAATTTTAGATGTTCGCCAAATAGCCCGCCAATCTCTTGGTTCAATGAATGAAGTGACATATCTTATCATGCATTCGTGCACTTTGCCAGTTGGAGCTGAACCCAATATCTCATTAGCGAAAAGATTCTCAAGTTCAGATAACTTAACTATAAAAAAGAAGGAAAGATCATTAAATAGTAAAAGAAAGGAACCTCATATAAGACAATGAAAAATATGTGCAACAATATTCAAGGCGTTAACATGTTTTTGCAGAAGTATTAAATATGGACTTACCTAGTTTAATTTTGTAGATTGGAGGATAACACAATGTTTGTGGTGTAAAAGATGTACGTTTTCTCATCATTTTGAATATCGTTTGGTAATTAAAATTGGCAGAGATGTACGTAGCTAAGAACAGTAAAATCTAGAAAACAACTTTTTAGGCGCAAAATATTCAAACCAAGCGCTAGCCTTCAAAGAGATTAACATGTTCTGATTGGCGACAAAGAAGCACATGACATGCTTGCTCAGCCAATCAAAAATCACACACTTTGTTTGATTTAAACAACTGTTATTTATCGTAACTAACTCGAAGAATTAATAAATTATTTGAAACATTTAATTTTTCCATAACATTGCAGTTAGTTGAAACTTAAGCCGATTTAAAATCTTGCCAATCCATTATTTTTTCAACCATAAATATAATATTGTAGGTTAGGTTAGCGTTCAATGAAGATCATATCATGATTTTTTTTATAAAAGTCCTCTTTTAAAAATGAAAAATTAATTGGTAAGTTTATTGTGAATTTAGTCATTGTAATTGATTCCACTTTTGAAAAATAATTGCTGATCTCTTTAAGTTTACATGATGCTATGATTTTAGCGCCACTCAGAATCATCTGTTCTGTTAGTCTGAGCAAGGCGAAGATTAAGCTCTGCAAAAAAAACTATTTTCCACAATTGCGGTTGAACCACACAACCATTAAATTTGCTCTGGGAGGAAAATGCCGTTTTTGCGTGTTTCAATTCAAATCTCTTAATTTTATTTGAATTTTAGACGCTCTCTCAGACTACGCCGGCTCACGGCTGACTAGTTAAGTTGTTGTTTAATAACATGTTCATATGTTTTTAGATCTTAAGGTAACTGTTTTGTTTTTATAAATGAAAATGTCTCGAGGTACGCTCTATTTTATTACAAGCAACAAAGACAAGCTTGCTGAAGTGATTGCCTTATTGGGCCATGATTTTCCATACAAGGTAAATATTTCTCACTTGTTCTATTCATGAAATGAAATTGTTTGCCTGAAAGGGAGCTGTTTTAATTTTCACATGTTTTTATTTACCTTTTCAGTTAGAATCTAAAAAGGTTGATCTCAATGAGTATCAAGGAGACGAAGACTTTATTGTGAAGAAAAAATGTCTTGAGGCAGCTAAACTCGTTAATGGTCCTGTTATGGTGGAGGACACTAGTTTGGGCTTCGATGCATTCGGTGGCCTGCCTGGTCCTTATGTCAAGTATTTTCTTGACTCAATTGGCCCTGAAGGATTGCACAAAATGCTGATGGGATGGGAAAATAAAAATGCTTCGGCTGCTTGTCGGATTGGATTCTGTGAATCACCTTCATCTGTTCCAATTATTTTCAAAGGAATCGTTAAAGGATCAATTGTAGAACCTAGAGGATCAACTGGATTTGGATTTGATTACTGCTTCCAACCAGAAGGTCTATCTTTAACATTTTCTCAAATGGAAATGGAATCAAAAAATAAATTATCCCATCGGTATTTAGCAGTTCAAGCTATGAAAGTATTTTTCCAAAAGGAAAAAGATCAATAGTTACTCAAAATTCTGAACCTCTCAAAGTATCATTAAACATAAATCAAACACAAGAATTTTTCAAATATCAATGTTGGTAACTTTATTGATAACTGAAATTCAAATCCAGAGTCAGCTATTCAATCAATCAAAAAGAAAAGCGGTAAAAAATCCATTTCTTCATTTGATTCCATCTTGTTAAACTTTACATGTGTGTTGTTATATACAGATTGGACATTACATCTTGATTAACGGATATATTCATGTTTTTTGAACTGAGCTTCGAATAATTTTCTTTGGCGATTTTTTAAATGAATATTAATATGGCGCTATAATGGTTATCAATTTAATGATTACCATTGCAAGCTTTATCGACACTTTGGTTTCAAATTTCACTCAATGAAAGGTCATGGTAGTGCTACGTCCTCCAATAATGATTGATGAATTGATGATTGGAAGTGCTAAAAGGGAAAACTGAATGCACAATAAAAAGCTTATTTTGAAAGAACAAAACTATTCTGCATTTCAGAACCAAGGCGGAAGTTTGGAAGACAAATTAAAACTCTATTATCAAATGATTTGTCCATCTGAAATGCGAGTTTTATTCATTAAATCGTGTGATAAATTTAATTGATAAAGCTACTTGATGCCTTGGTTTAATTAATTACAGTGCTAAGACCAGTGATTTACTAAAAATTGATAAATTTATAGCTCGTGAATAGTTCGGGTGAATCATCTGAGGTGAATCTCATCAGTTGATCAGTTCATTACCAAAGATGGAAAAAAGTATACTTTTCTTATTGGCATATCCACTTCTTGCCGGATTAATTCCTCTTGCCATAAAAACGTTCTTCTTGGCCGAAGAGAAACTATCCAAAACATTTAACAATGACTATTGGGAAAAATCGTACGACTATATAATAGGTGAGTGTTTCTCGTTCTCATGTCCAAATACCATTTACTTTTCACTATCAACTCTAATTACTTGAATGCCCATTGACTAGTTGGGGCATCAGCTGCAGGATGTGTACTGGCTAATCGCTTATCAGAGGACCCAAACAAAAAGGTTTTGCTGCTCGAAGCCGGTGGACCAACTCCTAGTTTAAGTGAGATTCCAGCTTTGTCAAACATCTTTCAAGGGTCGGTTTACTCATGGAATTTCAAAACGGTCCAACAGGAGAAATCTTGTTTCAGTATGCATGATCGAGTAAGTATTATAATTGACAAAAATTCTGGACAGTTTTTACCATTTGATGTTCAAAATTGTTTGGGTTTTGAGAAGTTGTAGCAAAAATTCCTTTACAAGAGCACCAATAATAATGTTTTGATTATTTAGAGATGCCGATTTATTCGTGGAAAAGGCCTGGGAGGAACTACTATGTTTGATTCTATGATTTACTTAAGAGGTCATCCCGATGAATACAACTCTTGGAGCACGCTAGGGTTACGTGAATGGCGTTGGGAGAAAAATTTTCCATATTTCATCAAAGTAGAACAAAAGAGAGATGCTAATTTGTATGACACTAATCGTTAGTATTTTTTCGAAACACAGTATGTACTTTAATTAACAATTTACTTTCTGTCTCGCTAGGAAATTATGGGACTAATGGATACCTTCCTGTAAATTTGGATCCTTTCGAAAACATTGTTACTAAATCAATTAGAACTGCTGCTGCAGAATTGGGTTTGCCCTATGGTGATCCAAATGCTGTGTCTAATGTGATTAACGCAAGACCACAATTCACTCATTTTAACGGCACTCGATTTTCAGCATCTAAAGCTTATTTAGAGCCAATTATGCATCGACCAAACTTGAAAATCTTAACCTTTTCTCGAGTGAATCGTGTTATATTTGATGGCAAGCGAGCGATTGGGGTTGAATTTAATCGCCATGGTTTAAATCATTTTGTTGCTACTCATAGAGAAGTAATATTATCGGCTGGTCCGATTAACAGTCCAAAAATATTGATGCTTTCTGGGATTGGACCGAGGCAGTTAATTGAAGAGCATCGTATGGAAGTTATTGCTGACTTGAAAGGTGTCGGTAAAAATTTAGTAAGTCCTTTGTGTGCTTTTTCACTTTCCTACAAATTAGAGAATGTCCCAAGGAGCATATTAAAAGATCAATATGATTATGATACAATCAATGAGTATGTTGAATATGGAAAAGGTAAGAGTTAAAAGTAAGCTTGTAATTGAATCTATTTCGTCTTAATATCTTTTTTGACTTTTACAGGTCGATTAGCAACCACAGGATATGATTCAATCACAATTGCTCAATCCAATGTCTATGGGCATAATGACACTGGACATTGGCCTGATATTGCGCTTCTTCTTTACTCAGGGGGATTAGTGGCTGATGATGGTCTCTTTTTTCGTAAAAACATTGGTCTCAATTCTGATGTGTGGGCAAAAGTATTTGAACCAAACATTAAAACACCTTCGTTCACTTTAGCTGCTTGTTTAGCACGACCTCGGTCAAGAGGAACAGTCAATATTATCTCAGCAGATCCTGATGATGATCCTGATATTGATCCAAAATACAATGAACATCCATCAGATTTACAATCTTTAACGAACGCCCTTAAGTTAGCAAAAAATTTAGGCAAAACACGAGTGTTTAGAGACCTTGGTGCGGTTCCATATTCAGATAAATTACCAACATGTCGTGAATTTGCTCTTTACACTGAACCTTATTTGGCTTGTTCTGCTCAGTCATTAACGGTTCCCTCCGAATATATCTCTGGGACCTGTCGTATGGGCGATCCAAAAGATCCATTTGCTGTTGTAGATCAAAATCTGAAAGTTCTAGGAGGAATAATTGGATTGAGAGTTGCTGATGCGTCGGTTTTCCCTTCACCTCCTGGATTATCAAGTGGGCCTGAGTATATGTTGGGTGAAAGATTAGCTGATATAATCCGAAGCAGAAGACCACCAATTCATCCTTATACGAATCCAATTTATACTTAAGAGTAAGCATAGAAAAAATGTCCCAAATCTTGTCCATTTTCTAAGTTGAATTTTACTTTTTGTATTACAATTATTCTTCTGGTTAAGATTCAATTGTCATTTGTTTATCATCCGAACGTTGTAATTATATCCTTACTTCGCGCGAAATTTCTTGACGGATTTGGACCTATGGAAAAATTGATACAATTACTCTTAGCTGAACTATCGATCAACTGTAAAAATTGAAAGAACGAAATACATTGTCAAATATATAAACGTTTAAAATTCGAGCTCCTTTATTCACATTTTTAACCAGTCGAAATAACTCATAAAAATCATGATTTTTAAAAAAAGCTTCAACCATTTCCTTTCACCACCATAATCATAAATTTCCGACTTCCCACTTTTTTGTGTCAATTCATAGATTAACATAAATCAATTTACATCACGTATCTTAAAATTAATTTTACGATCAAATTGCGTCGATTGTAATATTATAATATGAAACAAGCTAACGTTTGAGAACAATTTGAAGACAGTTGTATTGGTTAAAAACAAATCGTTCACAGCTTGAGAGTTGATTTGCTTGGTTGCTTCTAAAAATTCAATTTTAAAATGATAATAATTATGATAAAAAATTAAAAGAATTTAAATATCAGGCTTGAAAACTCATTGAGTGATCTTGATTTTTTTTGGAGTTCTCTGTGGAGTTTGGACATCTTCAGTCGAACACATTTCAATTGAATTATCGTTATCAAAATTTTCTTCAAATTTGTCATTCTCGGCGAGATTTGTTTCAGAACTCCAGCTTGGTCGAGTATTTCCTGTACAAGGGGTTGACTTTTCTGACAATTGATCACAACTTTTGCTTAGTTTGGGAGTCTTTGGTGTACCTCCTGGAAAGAGATTCAGTCCTTTTCTTATTCCTTTGCCAAAAGCTTTCATCATGTTAGATGCTTTATGTTTAACACTATCATCTTTTTTAACGGATAGTGGAGTGATGCCACCATTCTGTCGATTAAACTGCTTGATTAAAGTACGCTTTCTAGGAGTCTCGGGCATACTGCTTATGTAAGCATAAAGTTCAGCAAGATGTTTGGCAGTCTCAGGCTGTTTGGGTAAATTATCTCGACTACAAAATGTTAAAACGGTATCGACAACATCATCTCCAGAATCGCCATTCTCAAGTTTTTGGGATTCTCTTTTAGCGTCGATAACCAACTCTCTAGGCGGTTCGAATATTACATTTACATTATCAATCATAAATTTCAGTTCATCTGTGAGAATAATCAAATGCTGTTGAATCTCGCTGGCACTAGCTTCTTTTGGAAATAACAGGTGTGGCGCGAAAAGTGTTGATAAATTACGAGAATCCATCTTATTGAGTTCACTCTGAGCTGCTGTTTTGTTCAAAAGGGTTAGTAAATCATGGACAAATTTACGAACATTTGCTGGTAAAAGTAACAGTAGTAATTGAAGTTTCTTGAGTTTCTTGTTCTTTTTAGACGGAGACAACAAAGCCGAATTGATTTTTTGCTCAGTTATACCAGGAATTTCACAATTGATCTTATAAAAAATGTCTGTAAGAAGAGGCTCAGAGAGCTCAGATAGGAATGTCTTGAGCACATTGGCACAATCGTGAACATTATATTGTCCGTTTGCAAGATCAACACTTAATCCTTGATTCAACTTAGATTTCAATTCTTGCTGTCTGACTAGACTACCACATCGCCGGAATATTCCCTCTTGCACAATATCTAAAAGAAATAAATAAATCAGGATTAAATTAAAGAAACAGGTCAGTTGGTAATGCAAATTCAGAGCTAAAGATTGACCAACATAATACAAAAAAGAAATGACGAAATATAAAAGATCAAAATAAAAACTTACTTGAGTCTTGAGAAATAAAATTAATCAGTTGGTTCATCCGTCTGATTGACTCATCACAAATTTGTTTCGGACCTGAGAATCGGCGAAAAGAAGAGAGAAAAAAATCAACTTGAATAAGCATTGTTTAACTTGAAAGGGTCAAATGGAAAAAAATAAGTTGTTTATTTTTGTGCTTGTTGAGAAAGACGATGACAGATGCTTTTTAAAAAGTAACTGATTGGACTGTTAAACGGAAAAAGTTACCATCACAATCTTTTGTTTTCTCGTCAAACAAGGAAGCTAGTGTATCCCCAACCGCGTCAATGTTAAACAACAAATGCATCCTCGCCAATTTGATGAAAACATCTTCACGAGTTGAACGCAATTTTTCAATAATATCTTCACCATTCAGGGAACCACTTGAACAAGAAACGGTTCTCGGTGAACCGGTTGAGGTTGTAGATGAAGATGTTTTTATTGGTGTACTCATCGTCACCCTTCTTTGAAGCAATAAACAAACAGAAGCAAGATAAGAAAGATAAGCACAAGAATTAAAACAATTAATCACAAAACTAAACTAGATCGGAAAAAAAGTTGTCATTGATAACAACCGAACCATTTTTTTGAAAAATGTTATTTCAAATATGATTGGCTTAGCAGCAGCAAGCGCACCGTCTCCTATTGGATAAAAACTCATATCAATATCGATTAATCGGTAACATATCGATTTAACTTTTCTGGTTCAGATTTTCTGGTTCAATACTGTTTTATTATCAAAGAAAAGTTACTCTTTGATTACTTTTGAAAATTATTAATACATTTATCTTGAATTAAATTGTATTTAGCTTTTTAGTCCGAAACAATTTTTATTTAAATTTTATTTTGACTGATGCTAGTCTCAATCTTATATTTCACCCTCTCTTTTTTATTTTTTAGTTCTGTGTCGTCTTTATTATTTTCAAGCAATGATGAAGTCGATAATCAATACTAATTACGACTTCCTATTCATGTAAAGTTGAATGATTTCAAAAGGTCATATTGTCAATTGATTGTAATTTTTTTCTCACTGGAAACCTTAATCTCTATCTGGTATATTTAAATGTTATTGATGTTGTTGCTTGTTTGCTGTTACCGGTTTTTTCATGTTGTTGTTTTATTTTGTTGAAAGTCGTTCAGATGATCGTATTGAAGTCACTTGATGGTTCATGTTTACCAGAAACATGCAAATCTCACGTTTATTACTCAACTATCGGCTAAAATTATCAATTAACAAAGTAGTTGCGACTTCAAGGTCTTTAAAGTCTATCTCAAGTGTTATCCTATAGCTAACTGTTGAAAGCTGAACAATTCACCTGAGTAATTGAAGGGGCGAAATTGATGGATTCTTAGTATTTCATTTTTTGATCTTCAGTTGTATTAATCTTTCAACTAGGGTGAAAATGGCTTAGATTAGAGCACAAAAATCAACAAAGGAAATCCAAAATGTCCTGATTTCATTTATTTGCCTTCAGTAAGGCTCCAATCTGATGAAAAAAAAATTTCTTGAGTTGATTATCTTCAAATAGTAAGTACTTTGTTAGGTAAATATAAAAAATGAGCCTTAACAACAATAACATCAACATCCATGTTTACCAATTATACCAATATAACCAATGTTATAAATAGTTAAGGACACATCTTTTGTAACCATTGGTGAATAGGAAAAAACGTTTCAATTGAAAAGTAACAATCAAAGTGAGCATCCTAAAGATTCAATGCGAACCAGAAAAAAAGGAAAATATTGTCAGTGAATTACAGAAAATTTGAAAGGTTCTTTGTTGAAATGCGAATGTTGACCGTAAACCCTTTCACAGTTGATCAAAATGACAACTGATGCCAATTATCAATCAAATGATAGTGAATTAAATCATACAGTTAGATTGACATATAGATATTGGTAAATTGAGAGGAAAAGAAACTTCAAGATAACAAATAAAATGATTAACAGCTTTCCAGTAACAACTTGCCATGGGAAACATGGATGAAGCAAGGATTAAACGTGAATAATTAACTTGCAATTAGTGTCCTTTTCTGGACAATTAAGCTGGTAAAAAATATACAAAATTAAAGTAATCATTCATTAAGCAAGTATAAATTGACTGCGAGGGGCAAGTTGAAAGTAAAGTTCAAAATAAATGTTCTATTCGTGTTAACAGCTGATTACAATAATGATTACTTTTCAGATTGGTTTGTATTAATCATAAGAATGTTGATTAGGGCTCATAGTGATGTAAAAAGCAACAAGAAGCAATAAAATTTCCATGTTTTCAGCTGATTCTATCGGTTGATTAGGATTGAAGGCTCTTGAAAATGAAGTTTAAGTGATCAATGACGTCTTTTTGAAAAGCTCAGCTTGATTGAATGGTCATGAAAGGAGGAAGAAATGATGATGAGGATGATCAAGAAAAAAAATGAAAGAATCAACAACAATTGGTTCAAAGGTTGTCCTCTTAAAATTATTCACCTTGATTAGTAGATTGTCTTGGATCGGACAAAAGTTGACACAAGATTGTTGACTACATTTTGACTTTCATTGATAGCTAAAGATTATCCTGAGGAGAAGTTAAATAATCAAGTTAAAAAAAAGTGATATTACAAAATGAAGCGGACAATTGCAATGGGAACGATTAACATTTGAAACCCACTTGGATAAAGAAACATTGACTTTTAAATGATTAGTTGATCAATGTGCTGGAATCAGGGGAAAGATTATAAATACAATTGATCACTTCAACTGTCATCAAGAAAAGTCATCTTAACTCTTTAATCAATTTCAGGACAATTTAGTCTTAAAATTGCTGATCAAGAAAAACCACTTTTACCTCTTTTTGAAGGGAACGCTTATTATCACTGTAAATTGTCATGCATTAACAACTGTCAAGATCAACTGACATCATCATATTCAGCAATCTAAGTCAATGTAAAACCAATCAATTTAATGTTAAATCACGTAAACCCATTAAAATTAGTCTTTTGGTAAAATATTATCTGGCAATTTAAGTAACTCCAGGTCAGAACCTAAATAGGTACCAATTTCTGGTTTGGGTTAAGCTCACATAATATCTATGGATCTATTTAAACAATGATAAAGACATTAAACAGTCTTGTACTGGTCATGAGAGTAATTGATAAGAATTGATAAATTTCTAGTTCCTTATTAGTGAATTATCATTAACCTTTGCTTACAATGTTACCCGATCTTGACTAAATCAATAAGTTGGCATTATTGGGTAATTGAAATGAATTTACCTAATCACATTTGATTTACTGTCACCTAATGAGTATCAACCTTTGAAATGATGGATCAAAGTGATCAGAAAAAAGGTAAGAAATTAAGTCAAGTTCAATCAAAAATTGAATTGAACAGCAATTGATCAAAGTTCAAACAACTTTTATTTTCGTTCTGTTTTATCATCAAAAAAAACGAAATAGTAAACTAAATCATTAATCACTGTAAGAGCCTAGGAATGATTTACAAGATAAATAAGATACTTCATAACATTCTTGAAGATAATATTATGAAGTATCTTAATAAAGTAAAAATGATTGAAAAATAATAATAATAATTGATAATAATTGAAAGATTCCTAACAAAAATTAATTGATTCGGGGAGTGTATATTAAATTAATAGGCCGCCCTCGATCTTGATCAACATATATAAGGAGTTGAATCAATGCTTCGTGAGATCATAAGTCTTGAGCTTCATCTAAAAAAATGGATCTCAGGCTAATTATCGTTTTGTGCGCTCTCGCCGCCACCCGAGCCGGTAAGTTAATCAATTTTATTGTGACTTAGAAGTTTTGATCGTTTCCTCAGTCTTTACGGTGCTGGACCATGATTGAATCTTCTTGTTTAATTTCCTTGGATTGTTCAACATTAATTTTAACATTTTTCTTATTCTCTGTGTTTCTTCAGTCCCACAATCGGAAATCGTTTCTGGACAATGTGCCTCACAATGTAAATGTAAGCATTCGTTCAAGTAAAGACTTGGAAAATATTGATGTGAAATTAATGATTTTTTATTCTATTCTTTTTTCCCTTACCTGAACAGCTTCCGAATTGAACGAATACCCAACTGGTCAAACTCATGTATACAAATACTCAACACGAACTTTGGTAAACTCATGGAATGCCGCTATTGATCTTAAGGGAGAAGCCCTTCTTACCCGGTTGTCTACTTGTGATTACTCTGTTGAGGTAAGTTAAATTATTGAATTAAGTTAGGCTTTAGGATCAACTGTAATTGAATGTATCCATTGGTTGTTCACATCACTTTTATTCCTATCCGATCCAATAACTCCATCTTAATTTTCACCATGCTTTGATCATCAAACCATTGGAAAGATAGTGTTTAACCCTGGATAAGACACAGTTTGTCATCAATGTGAACCAATTTGAAACGAGGGTTATAACTATTAATTCAAAGATGGTGTTCAAAGTGTCATCATTAACACATTTGCCTTATTCCGTGCTAATTGATGGACTATTTTTGTATTTAAGTTGGACATAGTTTTAACAAAATGGTTTAATTAATTTGCAAAAGTGCTGCTGTTAGTGAAACCCTGGATGTAAACAGTTTAATATTTCCTTTGTTCTTGACAACCAATGGGATTTACGATGATTCATCGGGTTCAAAGATAATCTCAATTTTTCCTTTTACTAATTTTCCCTCTTTTTTTCTTTTATTTTCTTGATTGTTTTATAATTTAATAGCTTCGAAATGTAGCCATCAATGGTATTCCTGATGCTCGCGCACGGGAAGAACAATTGGCAGCTCATCCTTTGAGGTTCGCATGGACTGATGGTGAAGTCACTGATACTTGCCAACATCCAGAGGATCATGAATGGGCAATCAACGTCAAGAAGGCTATCGTCTCTTCTTTCCAAGTTGTTGGTACCAGCGGTTATGTCAAGAAGACTGAACGAGACATCCTTGGTGATTGTTCAACCACCTACCAACAAGGTGAATTGTCCAATGACCGAATTGTCATGCACAAAGTTAAGGATATTGCCACCTGTCAATACCATCATGGTGATAAAATTGCTGCTGTCATTTCATCTGTCTTGGAGACACCCCAAAAGGCTGAATACCAATGTAAACAAACTTGGACCTCCAAGTACATTCTTAAGTCAGTTAGCTGCGGTCATGTCGCTTTAACCCAAACCAATGTTATGGCCAACCTTACCATGGAACTTGTTAAGACCGAATCAAGAACTTCAACCAAGTCTCTTGAATCATTCCGAAGAAGCCAACTTTACGCTTCCCGAGTTCAGCGACCAAAGAAGTCAATCAATGAAGTTACTGAAACTTTGAACCACCTTTGCAAAGCTGTTGACAGTCAAATCAAATCCAACTCACCCTCAGCTTTCCTTGAATTGGCTCATGCCTTGGAAACTTTGAACTACAATGAAATCAAGCAAACATGGGAATCAATGGTTAACAACAAACTTGATCAACGATGCTCTTCTGACCGAGTCAAGTCTATGTTTGTCGATGCTCTCCTCCAAATCCGAACCGGTCCAGCTCTTAAATTCTTGGTTAAAGATCTCTCCAAGAACGAAAATGTTTCAGAGATGAAATTGAAGGCTGCTATTTACTCACTTGTCTACAAACCCGAGCCCTGTTCTGAAACCATGGAAGCCATCCACGAGTTCCTCCGAAGTGAGCGACCAGTTCTTCAAACTCTTTTTGGAGTCACTGCTGCTGTACAAAAATACTACGAAATTACCGGTGACAAGAAGCAAGCTATCATTGCTCTTGAATTGATCTTAGCCCGTTTCAACCGAGCTTCAGAAAACGAAAAGGTCATTTATGTCCGAGCCTTATCCAACATTCGATTCGAGGCTAACATCTTACTCAAGGCCTTGGAGAAATACATTGAATCAGGAAAGCCCGAACTTCGAGTTGCTGCTATTGAAACTCTTGAGTTACTTGACGCTTGCAATGATTTAGTTTACGGTAAACTCCGACGAATGGTTATGTCAACCAGTCAACCAAATGAAGTCCGAACTCGAGCTCTTAAAGTTGTTCTTCGATGTGGTGATGAGGAAGCTATTTCTCAAATCAAATCCTACATTGAATCACACCCTGAAGACAAACACTTCATCAGCTATGCTGACTCCTACTTACGAAATGCCATGCGAACCATGAATGTAGACAAGCAAGTCATCCGACAAAATGCCCAATTAGGACAAAGTCAATGGAAAGAGCCAAAGATGACTGTTTCACGAAACATTGAATTCTCCCAAAGAGCCATCTTAGGTAAAATTGGTTTCAACTACGAAATTGATTCAATTGTTGACAATGGAAAAGAAATGCCAACCTGGGCTGTTTTGAACTCATCTATTGCCCTCCAACAAGCTAACCAACTCAACTTCGAATTGGGTCTTCGTCAAGAAGGTATGGATAAACTTGCCGTCCAATTGTTCGACAAGATTAACCAAATCAAGATGAAGGACTTGGAGAAGATCGTTGAAGAAGTTAGAGAAAAGCGAGACTTTGAGCCACTTGTTCGGGAATTGACTAAGATCATTGAAGAAATCCAACGATCAGCTGTTAACTCAGCCCAATTCTCTGCTTACATCAAGATCAATGGTATCACCCTCTTCTACTGGAATGGTGTCCCAAGCTCAATCGAAACACGAGAATCTCTTAGACGAATCGTCATTGAGAATACCGAAACCCGAAAGGCTATTGAAGCTTCTCTTAGCTGGATGTTTGTTGATTACCAATTGAACAAACCTTTAGCTTCTGGTCTTACCCTCCGATACAAACACGAAGGATCATTCATTCCTGGCATCAAAGCTTCCCTCAAATCTCAAGCAGCCGCTGCTACCTCATCAAAACGTGTTCTTGATCTTTCTCCTAACTTTGCTTTTGCATTCGTTTACGGTTACGAATTGGTTCTCGCCAAGCCTGTCGCTAGTCAACTCACTAAAATGATTGTCAACTCTGATGTTGTTATGGATGGTCTTCATTCTCTTACTCGATCTGGTCTTTCAGAGGTTCACACCTTTGTCCTTAACACCAAGGATGAGATGGATCTTCTTCGATTAGACATCTCCAAGATTACCCGAGACAGCAATGGTAATGAAATCAAGGAACGATCATTCCCTGGTTACAACAGTGAATGGTGTTCAACTGAATACACTGACAAATTCTTCGGATTCGCCTTATGTTTCGGTGGTCAAGAAGAAGTTAATGCTGTTATGGAAAAGAAAAACGCTCAAGTTGTTCGACGATTCTTCGCCAAAAAAACCGACAAGAGTCTTAACACTTACGAATTGGTTGTCAGAATGGGTCAAGGTGAGAAAGCAATTACTTTCGATACCCCCAACACCAAAGTTAACCGAAAGGTTGAAATCGTTGTCGGAAAATCCGGTGACTTCAAGACCATGAAGAACTTTGCTGGTAAATTCTGGGTCCTCGTTGACTCTCCAGTCAAATCTTTTGATTTCAATGTTTCTGCCGCTCTTCCATCTGAAAACCAATGGATTGTTTCCGTTGATACCCAAGTTGACCGACGAGTTCACTCAGCTCGACTTGCTATGGAACCACGATCAAACCGACAATACATCATTAACATGATGGCAACCTCACCTCTTTTACGAGAAAAGCTTGACTACGATCTTACTTTCACTGCTCCACTTTCAGTCAAGGAAGGTAATGAAATGATGGCTCAAATTCACTCCAACATGGGCAACAAGCGAAACCGACTTGGTCTCATCAAGATGAACCGAAACAAGCAAGAACAATACAAGGTTGAATTTGAATTGAACAACGAAAAGGCTGAAAAAATCATGCACCTCATGCTTGATGGTTCAATCCGAGGATCTTACCCAGTGTTCACTGGTCTTCATTACTCTGGTAGAGTTGAATACAGACGAACAGTAGGTAAAATGGAAGAGATCACTCTCACTGGTAACTACAAGATCGACACCACTGGAGCAGCTAAGGCTGTCACCAACAACTTGGAGATCAAGACTAGCCAATGGCCACAAATCAACGGTAAACTTGCTCACAAGATGTTCTTCAAACAATCTGAACACTTAGAGAATGAAATTGACCTTAAATACGGTCGAGACTTCAATGAAGAATCTACCCTTAACCGAATCGTCCTCCGACAAGTTTCATCAATGAAGACTGGTGCCAAAAACACCGTTGAAGTTAAGAACACTTTGATCGCTGAAAACCGAGCTAGACAATTCAACCACAAGGTTGAAGGCCGAGTCACTTTTGCCCCACGATTGGAAGTACTTAAAGTTGAAATGACTCACTCTGACTTGAACCGACCTGAAAACAACCACAAAATGATCATCGATCACAAGACCACCGCATTGTCTGAGGGTACTCTTAACCTTGTCCTCTCATCTGCCCAAGAATCACGAAGCGTTAAGACTTCATACGCTTTCACCTCATCACCCAAAATGAACACCATCTACAAGGTTGAGCCTAAAGGACGACCAGTTCGTGGTTACCATGTTTCTGCCGCTCTTAACCGAGCCTCTGGCAAGCAACAAGTTAACTTCGAGATCCTTTCTCACCCAGATAACCGACAAATTGCCAAGATTGATGCTGACTTGAGTCGAGAACGATCCAAGGCTGCTGCTAACCTCAAGGTTTCAGTCCAAGAAAGAAATCTCCTTAACGCTGAATACGACCGAAATGCTCACCAAATCAAGAGCAAAGTTTCTGTACCTGCTGGTTCAATTGATAGCATGGTTGACTTGAAAGCTAAATCTTTCAAACTCATCACCAAGGACTCAAAGGATTTGACTCACGAACTTTCTGCCATCAACGCACGAGATGTTAAGAGCATTAAATCAACAACCCTTTCAGGACCTAAAATCATGCCTAGCTTTGAAGCTAAAATGGACACAACCAAACAACACTATGAATTCAATTTACAAACCAGAAAGGTTAATGTTCTTGCCGAATTGAAGGCTTCTCTTGCCGAAAAGGACTTCAAGTTTGAATTACAATGCAATGAACACGGTGAAAAACACTCAACCCACCTCAAATGGTCTGACAAGCACAAGATGTTGATTTCTACCCATGAACAAAACCAAAAACCAATCTACTCATTTGAACTTCGATCAGAGAACAAGAATGAACTCGTTCACAAACTTGTCTTGAAGGTTGGAGACGAATTCGAAAGCCGAATCCAACATGTCTACAACTCAGAAAAACGATTGTCCAAGATCGACATGACTGCCAACAAAGGAGAACTCGAAGCTAAAATCAACACCAAGATTGCTTTACCCATGAAACGATCCCGATTCGGTAAAACCGAGATGCCCACTGTTGACATCAAGGCCAACCTCAAGTATGAAGGCAAGGAATCATCATTGCTCATCAGCAACGATCAATTCACCAAGATTCACCTCCAACACCGAAACCGATCCGGAGTTCCATTAGTCGTTGACAGTAAAATCGAATCCGACAAATGGGCTGTTGTTGGTCACGTTGATCAACTTAAATGGAACATTGTTGTCATTCCCCGAGAATCCAAGAAATCAGTCGAAGTCAGCGTAGAAGGTTACGGTGCTGACATCAAATTCAACCTAGGCTTAGAACAAGAGTCATCTCAATGGAAGGCTATTGCTCAATCCAAGCTTATCGTCAAGGGTGACAAGAAAATCGATGGTCAAATTGAAGGTACTTTCGCCAAGACTTTGATTGCTGGTCCACACAGAATTGTCATCAAGAACTTCAACCAAGACGTCTCAATGACTTACAAACTTGTCAACGACAAACTTGAAATCACCTTCGGTGCTAATGACAATGGTCAAAAGCTTATTGCCGCCAACTTCAACGGTGACAAATTCCAACGTGGTCGAGTTTTCAACGTCAACGGTAAACTAGAACTTACCTCAGAAAAGTACGAAGCTCTCCGAAAAACCGCTTACGAAGTCAAATACAACCGAGATGGACGTAAAGTTGATATGGAAGTTGAAAAGAAGGGATCAAACCCAATGAACTTGAAAGTTTCCGCTGAAATCGCTCGAGAGGGTGCCAAGGTTAACGCTGAAATGGCTGGCCGAACTGCCTCTGGTAAACAACGAAAACTCGCCATCGACTATACCCGACTTAACAAGATTGACTTCTCTGCTAAGCTTTACGAAATGTCCAAGGTTGACTCTGAATTCAGTGTCTCCCTTCCTCTAGTCAGACTTGCTGAATTCATCGGCAATGAAGCTTCTTTCTACCTTCGATCCAAATCCCTTGACTCTGAGGCTTCTTTCAAGCTTCAAGCTCCATCAAAGACCTCAGTCACTGGTTTAACCAACTTGAAGATCCAAGGAAAACAATGGTTCCAATACACTTTGGCCATTAATGATGGTTCATCCGTTCAATTCTTTGGTTTAGAAAAGGTCAACAACAAATTGGAAAACCCAATCGCCATCCTCAATGAACTTTACTTCAAGGGTAAACCCATCTTCTTCCACCATCTTTTGATTTCTGACAACCTTATTTCCTTGAAAACTGAATCACCCAACCTCTTCAAAGTTAACCAAGCTTTGACTTTGTTGGAAAACCCAGAGATCTTCGGTAAATACTGTTGGGATACCAAATGCTCCAAGATGAACTCTAAATTGGTTCTCGGACAAAAAGGTTTGATCCAAATGAACATTGAAGGACCAAACAGCGACAAACAACGATATGATGTATCTTTGAAATGGAACCAAGAACAAGGAAAGGAATACGGTTCAGTTCTTGTTGCCACTAGTGGACGACAATATGGTTATGAAATGTCTCGAATGGTCAAAAACGCCAGAAACGCTGTCTATGAATCAAGAATCACCCTCCCAAAGAGAATTGTTACCCTTACCGCTACCAAAGATGAGAAATCATCTTCTCAAGACCGATACCAAGGCGAATGGAGTCTCGTTATCCGACCAAAGGAAAACGCTGATGCTCTCAAGATCACCTTAGACCGATCCATCAAGCGATCATCTAACAACTTGAAGGCTGACCATGTCATCTCATTCGAGCACAAAACTCTCGCTAAGCCCATCAAATTCATTTCCTCTGTAAACTTACTTAAATCTGATGTTCCTGCATACAGCATCTGGGGTATTAAATCCGCTGATGTTAAAATGGGATTGAACGTTAACGGTGAAGAGAACCACGACTTAAACAGTGCTTTCTACATGGAAAAGGCTTCAGACAAGATGAACTACAACTGGAGAATCTGGGAAAAGGAAGAAAAAATCGACTTTGGATGCAAAGGTGTCTTCAGCTCAAGTGGAAGCTTGAAAGCCAAAGACTTACAAGCCTTGAGAGACTGCAACTGCCATTGGGTTAACCGAAACGGTGAACGTAAAGAATTCAAGAGAGAACAAACATTCAACATGCACGACCTCATCACTTTGAACCAAGGATTACCTCGAATCACTTTCCATGACAACATCAAACACCCACTCGGATCATACTTCTACAACGGAACCTTCCACTTCTTTGATGCCATCAAAGATGCCACCATTGATTTTGGATTCAATGACGGTTCACGATACAAGCTCCAAGCCAAGATGGATGCCACCAAGCCAGAAAAGTGTGTTGAATTGACCCTCTTTGAAGCCAACAATGCTGCAGAGAAATACGGTCTTCGAACCTGTTTAAACCTCAAAGCTCGATCAGAAAAATCAGTTTTCCTTTTCGAAATCTTCACTTTTGCTAACCAAGCTTCCATGACTGAAGGCGAACGAAAGGTTGACTTCTCAATCAGACGAATGAAGGATTATGTCAATGACTACCTTGTCCGAATGACCTGGGATACCAACAGTATGGCTCAAGCTACCGTAAGTACTATAGCTAAGATTGACACCACTATTTTAACTCACATCAAACATTTCTTTCGTTTACTAATTATTTTAATTTTCATTCTTTCTGTTTACAGTACCAAGCCGTCGACCTCCTTGAACGAGCAACAAACGAACGAAATGCCATCATTAAGGAAAGAGATAGTGAACTTAAAGCTAAAATGGAATACATTCGATCATCTATTGGTGACAGAATTGGAAAGGCCAAGAAACACCTTAACCGAGAACTTGATGAAATTACCACTGAAATGAAACCTGAAACTGAAATGATTAGCAAGATGCTCACAAAAGTTACCCGAACTCGACGAGCCACCATTACACCAATTAAAAGACGTAATGTTGATCTTAGTTCCGAGATGACCTACGACTGGAGAAACTACGATCTTGAAAATGGTATCATCGAAGTCATCTTCCGAAATGTTGAGGCTGAAAAGGTTCCTCTATTCCTCTACAAATTACTTCTTAAAAATTCAATGATTGGATTAATTTAAATTAGGACTTGAATTATATATAGCAAAAAAAACTCAACCAAATTTCTCGAATTTTTTCTCTTTTAATTTGCTTCAAATCTTTATCTCGCGCCCCTTTTTCCTTAAAAAAATATCCATATTTTTGTTGATTGTAACAAAAGTGGACCTCATGTCTAAAAAATGATTGTTATCCTATCGAATAAATTATAACATTTCAAGCCAAAATCTCATGTCCTCTATTTTAATTGCTAACTTTATTTTGAGTTATGGCATTTATATGATAATGTTTGAACCGTCAAAACTAATCGATCGCGAATAATCAAATTGAAATGAAGTCAGTTTAAATTTCACTGTCAAATGCTTAAAGCAAGATGTCAAGGTAGGGTGATTGAGGAAAAGCAAAATTGTATTCCTTTCAACTTACAAGGCATGTTAGTTGACATTTAAAAGGCAAACCATAGACAAATATTAATAGAAATCTGGTTAGGTAAAGAGGCTAAGTCAATAACTATTGATTCATTTAATGAACATCTTCTTCGTCTTCCTACAAGAACATTTTTGCACTTTCCTCTGACTAACAAATGATGTATTTGTCACACTGTCATATGTGTCTCATCATTTTTGCCTTTCATGGATTCAACTATTAAAGTCAAATAAGGAAAATGAAACTGGTTTACATTAAATCAAAACTCTCGTTTGCCCGTTATGACATTTAATGGAAATGGTAAGTTCATTACTGGAAAATTTAACTCAGGGACAACATTGTTAGACTGGAAAAGTTATGAAGCTAGTTGGTGATATTCATGAAGTTCACCCAACTGACAGCTTCTATCCAATTGCACTCATCAGGACTTGTAACCAAGGCTCGATCTTTCTTGATATTTCTGCTTCTTTTTTCTCTCCTCGTGGATTCCTGGATTTCATTACAATTTCCATCTAATAATACATCAGTATGAAGCTGGCCACAAGTTGATACAAATGGCTGACAAGCTTTAGGAATACTTAAACCAAGAAACCCAAAATTCATAGATTGATCATTTTCATCATAATCGACTTCATGTTTGATATTTACAAATAATACAAACGAATAGCAAAACAATTTGATTTAATTTCTACTTTGAGTTCTACTTTACTACACAATTCCTGAGGTTTTTCTCGACTTCTTGACAAGGAACTTTTCAACCTTTTAGGACATCAAGGGTTCATAAACAACCTGAAAGCTTTCGATTAATCAGGTAAGCAAAAAAATTCTTTCATGCAAACTTGAAGATAAGTCTTGATCGCTTATTTTGAATAGTTGACTATTTAGATTCATAATGAAAGATGGATGAAGAAAACATTTATCAGGTTTACAGAAAGTTTTCAAACGCAAACTGAGTGATGTTTATTAACCATGTAAGATGATGTTGAGCACAAGAAATTAAAGAACAGCTTTCATCCAAAGGATCATTAACATTGATTTCTTGCCTGATGATAATTCATTCATATTTTTGTTGATTGATTGCGTTTTAATTGCCACCAAATTCATTTCTTTCACATGAAGGATATTTAACCTTTTGAATGATAGCAGAACCAGATATTAACCTTGAAACTGTCCTTGAAATCATTGCATAATGTGGTCTCTATTGTGTTGCAAAGTCTGATTACATGAAAAAGAAAGAGTTAAGGTGAAATGGCATTTTAGTAATTATGACAATTAAATGTATTTAACATCATCAGTTTTACAACAAAGACTTAAATATAATGTAACAATGTTTACCTGTGGAGTTAAATAATGGTTCATGGATCTTGGATGAGTTTTAATTGTAAATCGTGAGCAGATTTTCACCTTAAACAATTGAAATTATCAAATTGTAGTGCTTATTTGTATTTACAATAAACATGAACAACACACGTAAACTAGAAATGTAACTTGTAACAATAACAACATTGTTGAACAGATAATAATAGGTAAAGCAAGAAGAAGCATTGAAGGTTCAATTTTTTGGGACCGAAAAAAACAATCTTACATCTTAATTATAAGTTAATTTCGAGGTTCGTTTTTAGATATTCATAGAGATTGCCTTTCCACTTCTATCCTGTTCACATTGAAACATAAAGGGTAGAGTTGCTTTGAAAACCAGGCCTTTAATTGGTAATAAGCAGTGGTAAAGTGGAAGGTCGATCAACGCTGTTCATTGTGAGCTCTGAGGATTGCGTTCAACACGGAGACTCCCAAATTAATTGTTTACTTGTGAAGGTTACCGACCAGATCGTCCATTTTCTAGTCACAACAAAGAGGGGCCTAAATCATGTTAAGGTAAAGGGTTAAGTTGGAAATACATGAAAAAAGAAAGAGAAACAATATGAAAATGTTTACAAAAATTAAAGGAAAAGAGTTAACAAACCCTGTAGGGAAAGAGTTACTAATAATAATCTCATGCATAAAGTTAAACAGTTTATTGTTAAACAGGGTTACCACTGATGTACACGTTTGATGAGATAACCTTTTGGCAATTTCAATTTAATTCAAATCTAATTCGATTCTAAGTGAAGTGATTTTTCTTTGTTAATTTTAGTACCTGATTAGTGTACTTCACTCAAGAAGAAGCAAAACAAATGATTTTACTGGAATATTTTTCTCACTCTCTTCAAATAAAGTATAAGACTGAAACTTTCATTCTAACCTTCAGGTAAACATGGTAATGATGATTGGTTTGAATTAAAGGGTGAGAAGGAGAGAGTTAGAGGAGAAACTAGTTTATTAAAATTTGTTTGCTATAAAAATGAAAGTTAACACAGTACTTACACTAAATACTTGTCCGATGACCTTGTGGATGTAAATTATTTGAACACATCTATCATCATTTGTCATGAAATAGCATGTTATAATGAGTTAATCAGGTAGTGGTGGAAATTAAAATCACATGAAATCAACTTAAATCGAAAAACAAATTATTGAAAAGTCAAGAAATGAAGCAAAAAAACATATAGGCACACCTTTGGAATGGACCAGCGAAATGAGCACTTCACCTTGCTTTCAACACCATTTTTTGAATGCAAGGTTGAAAGTAAAAAGATATTAAATAATAAATCAAATGGCTAATAAAGTAGAGTAAAAATTTTAAGAAGCTGTTAAACAAAAATCGCAAATATCTAATTACTGAAACAGAGTTTACTTTGTTCAAAAATAACAGGTTGATATTGGTTTCAAAAAAGTCCGTTAAGATAACACAAAGTGAACAAAATTCGTAATCGGGTGAAATATAACTTTTAGCAAGGCTAGTCAAAGAGTAAAGAAGAACTGGTTTAGTCTTGTTTTTTTATCTCTTTTGTCTCAACTTTTGCACTTATTCATCATTATATTGAATGAGAAAGAAAGAAAAGGTTAGCTAATTTAAACATGTTGACAGTTAACAGTTGGAGAGAAATGTTCTTTTTTTAGTTATTACTTTGATTAATGATTAGGTGAAGAGTTTCAGCATTGATCAACTAATAAATATTAGAATTTTTACCATTTTTTATTTGTTAATTTGAATAACCTTTACACCTATCATCAACTTATCAACAGCTTTCTCATGTTGATCTCAATCGTATGGAAACCATTTTCATTGCCTGGTACAGTTTTTTGGGTTTTCTGGTTGCTTTCCTCATTGATCACTAAAAAGGTTTTCCTCGCCTAATTTTTCTCTCTTTCTTCTCTACCTTATTATTAGATTATTAATATTTTCATCAATTGTACCCATGAATATCAAGACAAAGCCTGATTAAAAAGGTTACCTGTTTAAGCTGGCCAACAATTTAATCAATAATTCTTTGCTTCTATCAATGAGGTTTGGAGCAACCTGATTCAATGACGATGGCCATTGTTTTTTTTAAATAACGTTTTCTGATCGATCTTGATGGATTTGACAAGGTAAGTTTCAAGTTAATATTTTCAATAATTATTACTCAGTAATTGTATACATAAAAGTAACAACAGAAATATCAACATGAGAGAATGTTAGGCGTAACTTGAGAGGAGAAAAAAAGGAATAACTGTTCAACCACAGCTATAGATGATTATGAAGACTACTTTCTTATATTAATCATCCAACTTCCCAGGTTTGTATCAAGATTTTAGAGTGAGCAAATTAGTGAGAGCAAGGAAGAATCAAATTAGTACAGGAAAAATAACTAAATCATCACCTAGTTTCTAAGCCTACCCTTTACCTGTTGCAAGTTTTAAACCAGCTAAAGCCAAACTTGCCTAACCTCTCCTAATCTTGTACCGGTAACTGTTGAGGACCAAAATCAGAATAATCAGATACACATTGGTTTTTATATTTTAACCTTGACCCTGATTGATAATCTTGTTTAATTTTTTCTCTCTTTTTTTCTCTCTTCTCTCATTTCAGTAGATGATTAAGATGAAGATGATTCAGTGCTGTGAATAAAATAAAGAGCTAAAGATGAAATCAACAAGAGGGAAGGATAAAGTTGAAGAGGATGAGAAAGCGGAAGAAGAAGGAGCAACGAAGATGATGAAGATAATTCTAAATACAATACAAGCGATGAGTTAATGAACAATAGAAACTAAATTCACCACCTTTGTAGATTAAGTGTTTCAGGTAAAGTGTATATTTTGTTTTTATGTGTGTTTTATAAAGAAACGATCATTCAAGGCATGTTAATGTTAAAAGTTAATTGATCGGAAATTTACTCTTGTTAACTTTTATAAGTCAAGTTGTTCCATTGATTTGCCTCGTTTGGTCAAGTGAGGCCATGTTTACTTTTAAGGTTTGATCATTGTTATTGTATTCCCTTTTCTTACACGGTTTAGTACCTGTTGAGATAATTTTCATTGTAGTCTTAATTAAGATGACCTTCCGTTTATACACCACTTCTGGTGTACCTAAATTTTCATGTTTTCCAGTCACACCCAGATTCATTAATCATCGTCATCATCGTCATCATCATCATCATCATTACAATCATTATAATTATCATCATCCACAACAACAAAGAGCTATCAGGCCACCCTTGGCAAAAAATCATTAACCGGCCAGAGTTGACACCTCGTATGTTTATTTAGTTCACATTAGCTGATTGTTTGACTTTGTTTTGGCCTGTTTAAAGTTACAATTAGATTATTTTGCCTATTCTCACCGAAATTGCGTTTTCATCCAGTCAACCCAAATGTCTAGCATCATTATCACTGCCATTATTATCTTTATCTAAAAGTCGCCTCTTCTACTATTCCAACTAATCATAATAAAATTTAATCACAGAAATTTTTCTTACTTTTTTTTCAGACTCTTCAGACTTTCCTGGCTCATGGTTGTTACATCTACAAGACTTTCAAGGAAAAATCAGGAAGCAGTTAAAATGAATTGACGATTTTATTTACAACTTTGACATTAAGTTTAATGGAATTGGATTTTGGCTTTACATTTTATACACATTCAACATCTAGACCATTTTTAGATGATAATCCAATGCAATGTTGGACTATTATTTACTTTTTTCAGGTATGTTTCAACTGATCTTCATGTAAATTTTAATTGGTCTTTAATTGTAATTAAATGTAAATCATTCTTGGTATTTATTTATTTGATAGAAACCAGGAAAGAAAACAAAAACCAAGCAAGTCTAAGGATGCATAAGGAGGGGTAAAGGAACACAGATGAAGAGAGATTACAGTCTTGCACAAAATCTTGATTCAAATCCATTGATGTTTGATTTTAAAGTTTGCTTTGATAGCTGTGTCAGTGTCAATGCAATCCCGGAAGTTTAATTAATTCAACTCAAAATATTCAGTTTCAACAACACGAGTTGGATCACAAAGCATTATCATTATCGTTACATACACACCATCACCAGCAGAAAATACCAGTGAAACTGTTCAATTAAAATCCACCATCATCATCAGAGTGATTAACACTTGAGCTTACTCTCCTCTGTTTCTGGTATCTCATTATTTTGGCAAACTATTACAATGATAATGTTATTGGTTTAAAATGATTCATTCACTTGTAGATATAACCAACCCTGTTTAAATTGAATTCAAAAACAAAAACAACCCAAGTTAACATCTTTACAATTACATTACAATTATTGTTGATATTATAATTTTGTGTCTTGTAATTGAAAAAATAAGGAAGTTACCTAAATGTTAATGTTTAAATTCAATACAGACCAATGTATTCCTTGATAGATGAAATCATTTCTCATAATTGTACCTCTTGGCTAATTAATTGGACAATTACATTGTTAAAACCATGTTAAATTGTGTATCAGAAATGATGAATAATAAATTGATGGAAATATCTTTCAATCGATAAAATATTGACAGACTTTGCTATTTGCGAGCTGAAGTACCGTTTATCGATACAAAAATGGTGAAATTAAATCATTCAACTTAGCCAATAGATTTTAAATTGTGGTTAATCTAAAACTAGAATCAAATCTGTGATCTGAAAATTGTATTTGCTTTTATCCATCACTCAGAGTTTGCCCCTTCAAATGAAATAACCAAGCAATTTATAAAATATCAACCTTTTCTGTCTGTTTAGATAATTACTTTCAATGATTGAACAATCTTGATTTCATTAATTGTTCATCATATTGATATCGAACATTGGTAAATGAATCAATGAAGAGAGGAAAAGGTGAGGTTAATGAACAATTGAATGTAAAAATTTAGAGTCGCTCAAATCAACCTCCATTAACTCACCTCTTTCCTTTGCCAGTCTATGTCAATGTTTTTCCAGCTTTTACTCACCTCACTTTTACTTGCCAACAAATTAACCAAACTGTTTAATCATCAGTTTTTTTATTCAATTATGTTTCCAATTAATCATGCTTATTAATTACTGAGTGTCTGTTTATAACTTCACAACAACATCAACTAAACACATTTAAATAAAGGTTAATCTAAATGTTCCGACATCACAAGTCGACCTCGGATCATCTCTATAGATAAATGTTTTAAGGGTAAGTCAAGTTCTGCTTTTTTCAATTTTTACCTTTCAATTAACTCACCAAAAAAACCATCACAATCATGATAATCATGATCAAGCTCAAATGTGCAACAATTTTTAGCTTTAAATTGATGATAAGTTATAATTTAATCACCAATTAACTGTTATTATGTTTCATCTTTCTGCATTTTTGTCTCATCTGTATGTTGCTATTTTGTTTGCATATAAAAGCTATTGATTTGTAAGCTATCAAATCCATATCAAAAAAGGGTTTATTCATTTTTCACTCGTAACTGTAAAAAAATGTCAGATAATTATTAGTCGATAGTTTTTGTTTTTATTGAATATCAATGCGTTATTTTTGATTAATTTATTCATTTACTTTACATTAATGTCCACAATACCATTTCTCATGCATAAAAAGTTACATTTATCTGATATAACCGATTCAACTGAATATTGCTCGATATTATGATTAGCAATATGTATTATTAGTGCTTATTGTGACACATTTTAGTCTTTTTGCGTCAAAATTTTGTACAATCAGATAGCAAATTTTAACTCTTGTTAACCCATTATAACATTCATGATGATGTTACACAAAAAAAGCAACAAAAACATCATAAAATAGGGAAAAAAAGAAATCTTTTTCACACCCAAATCGATCACTTTTTTTCTACTGACATTTCCTTTGGATTACAATTGCAATTGTATTGCTGTTGTTAACAATTTAGATACACATTGAAACAATTACTGGTTCATCAATCACTTGTTTTGGGTTATTTAGGCCTCAATCATCACCATCAACCAACACCGATTATCGTTTCAACCATAATAATTGATATAAAATCACTTTTTAAAAATGATAATCTTCCAAGTTAATGATTAACCAGAAGGCAATTCACCTGAATCCATTATATAATTACAATGGACAAGGTTAACCATATTGACTTCATATTGATCAGGTTCATGACAATTTTCATTTGAATCACCCATAAATGACCTTTTATATTGTTAATCAAATAAGTAATGGCAACTGCACCAATCGGTATCATTAATTTTAACCATATTTCACCATTCAAATGAATATCCGTCTCTAAATTGTTGGTCCAAGGCTTTCCTTTAAACTTAGTTACTAATTGTAATTCATAGTAGACACAATTATAACCACCTACAATTAAAGTATGATAAGGTTATCTAACTTGGTTAACGTTTAATGGGATAATTTTTTGTCAGTCAATTATACATTATATTTAAAGTCTCTCTCTCAAATTATTATCTTATATCATTATCATTAGTTGATATTGGATAACTTGAAAAGTTGAAATTATTATTAATAACTTGCGACAATTTATAAACTGCTTGATCTTAATTCATCATTTCTGTTATCATACATTAAAAACTGTGAAGGTGAAACAAAATGAAAGATAAATTGCTTCAATTAGTTTTAAATACAGAGACTCAAATCGCTTTTTGAACCTCCCTCTTTTTTTCTTACCCCCTCTAATTTTTCCTCCCTCTTTATCTCTCTCTCTCTCTCTCTTTCTCTCTTTGACTGTCTCACTTTATCTTTCATTTCATCAATTGAGCTTTTACCAGTTATGCTGTGCGCAATAAACAACTGTTTTTGTGTTTTTGTTGCTTTAAAATGTTGCTTTATTTTTAATTGAATTGGTTTTTGTTAATTAACTTACAGTCAATTTTTTAAGTAATCAACGTCTTCCATTAAGTGACGTTATATCTATTTGATTCTTTGATTGGGAATGAACTACTGTTTTCCATATACCAGTGATCACCGCTTCAGTCATCTTGCAAGGTAGGAGAAAAAGTGAGGGATGAGAAGAAAAAATTGACTTGTTTAAGCCACTAAATCATCTCTAATTTTGATGTATTTTTTCTTACATTTCTATTTCTCTTTTTCTTTAAGGTCTACTCACTGTTCTCAAATCTTCTAGTTATATCTATGTTCATCTTGTTGGATTGATTTTTAAACCTCACCAAATTTTGAAAGTCATTTTGATCATCTATATAGCACATCTTTCTCTTCTTTACTAGTGAAAAGATTGTCGCCTTCTTTCTTTATCTTCAACTTTAACCAACACATTTATCTTCAACATACAACAAAACACAAGACTAGTCTTTCCTTTTCTACTATTTGTTCAATCATCTCAAGTCCATTCGCTTTATTATATGTTACCTGTTAATTACAAAGCAAAGAAGGGTTACTACACATTTTAGTTTAATCATTGTGATGTTTTTTGGAGATTTTTATCCTCAGCCACAATAATATTTTCACTTCAAATGGTCTGAAGAAATTATTGAAAGTACGTGGTTATTATAAGAGCTTCATTAGCACCCTCTTACCATTGAACCATATCATGATTGATCCTATTTAAGTTTATTTTTTATACTGCTACATCTCGATTCACTTTTTTGTTTCTAATGTTTTTATTCATGTTTTTCTTCCCCTCTTATTTTCTTCAATCAGACTGGATTCTACGCTTCATCGAGTATCAAAATTTTCAATCGATTAACCAAGAAACAGTAAATTAAATACGAGTGCCAAGATCAAAAGATTTTTTGTGCCTGTTATAACAAAAAAAGCCAAGAGGTACAAGTTTCGCTGGTTTAATCCTCGAATTAGTGTCACTATTTGTTGAACCTCAGTTTCCCATTGTCTACTGTAATAACGTGCCAACTAATATTTATTCATCCGATTTTACCTTTTTTATAGGTGTTTTCACTTTCTACTATATTTATCTGATTGATTGATGCTAAATACCAACTTTACAACATACTTGTATTAATTATTCGCAACACTGGTGTGATTCCCCAGTTCATCAACAAACCCAAAAGCAAGGCTCATCATCACCAATCATCTGAACTACTGAACTCCATTTAACCTCTAATTTGAACCACGAGTTTGTGGAATAATGTGTTTTAATTCATCATTAACTTCCAACATTTTAATTTTCCAGTTAAATTGACTTTAACATCGTTATTACTGCTATAAAACTATATTTGTTTACTATTTTCTATTCCATTCTAAATCAACCTATCAAAGACAACCAAGATGAGTGATATGCTTGTTCAATGTTTCACTTGCTGTGTTACCCAGCAAACTCGCTCGGTGAGTGACTAATCAGTGGTAACGAAATCTGACTCTTTTGCTAATCTAATTTTTATCTTTTCCATCTATTTTATGTATTCCTTCCATTGGTTCAACCATCAATCCCAGAAGAGGCGTAGAAGAATTGATAGATCTATGATTGGAAGTCCAACGAACTTCAAGCACACAGCACATGTTGGTTTCGGCGAGATGTCTTCTCATGTATGTTCATCCTACGTTATTCATATTGGTGCTTATGTAGATATAATGGTTTATTCAAAAGAAATCTTATTTTAATCTTTAGTGGTATCAATGCATTCATTAGAAAGAATCCAAGTCACTTTCATCCGGATATTTAACCCGCATGTTTGCATCCAATATTAAGAAACCCTATTAATCTCGTTGCCACCCTCATCTTGAATTATTTTTCTGCTTTGATTTCTTATGATACTTGTTCACTTCCTTATATTTGATTTAACCTATGGTTTGTCACTTTTCATTGAACATTATAATTTATTCATTAATTTTTAACATACGTAATAATTATCAGCACCAATGTGATCGATTTGAAATATTTTATTATTTTTACTAATTCCTGCTTTCTTCTGTTTCTTTTAGATTGATGATCTCCAGAATCAACTGGCCTCTAAAGGAGGATATGAATATGCAATACCAGTCAGTGTAAAATAGTATTTAGCTTATATATATATATATAATTACAATTAATTAAATTAAAATTATCCAACATGATTGTCTCTCAACATCGAAAGAAGAAAATTCAATCCCTCAAGAATAAGTCAAAAACCAAATCATCACCAATTTTCGGTCAGGACAATCTCCACCGATCATCTTTTAAACTTCATTTTAGCAAACTGATACCTAAACCATCAATACTTAAATTCTTACATAGAATATTTCTTAATGAATCATCTTCTAGCCTGATAAACCGTGATGCCATAAATCTAAATCGTTAAACAACATTCTAAACCAGTTAAACTTACGTAGACTGGCGTGGATGAAAAGCTGCGGCTGAAATAGCTGTTGTTCTAAAAATGGCATTTGACATTTTTAAGAAATTTAGAAAAATGCTATTCCTACCTGATAATTTACATTTACTTCGTTTCAATATCCAGTCTCAAATTGCCTATTCAGCTGTGTTTATTCAAAGACTCAATCGATTTGTTAGAAGAGAAAAATCCTTCAGCCAATATCATCTTATTACCATCCTGTGGATTAACCATTTGAATTTATCAAAGTCATCGGTTGAAAATGGAAAAGAATAATTATACTCTTACCCTGATTTCATCAATCCTTCAACAACTGATCATAAATTGACATCGAATCACATAACACATCTTTCAAGAAAACATGGTTTCATGCATCGACAACTTTTCCATGGTTTTGTTATTTCTGCAAAGCGGGTCTATAGAATCCATTTTTTCTCACCAAAAAAAACAAAAACTATATCTAAGCCATGTTTTTGTTACTTTCATCATGGTCAGTGAGGATTATCCCCGGAAATTATCCAGATATGGAAAAGCCTAGCACAACCTAACTTTATGTGCCTCTGCTAGGTTAATCTTCCATCTTTTCCTGTCTCGTTTCTCCGGACCACTCATCCATCAAAACATTTATCTCAACTACAATTAAACTCTGCAAACAAAAGTATCTTTCCTCACCATGAGTCCATAAAGCTCTAGTCTCAAATACGGTGCTTGGTGGATAACGTGAAAAAGACTAAAAAGATGAAAAATTGATAATCATTAAAACCAAGCCATATTATTGTGATTGAGAGAGGATTGGCCAATTTCTCTAGCGATAATCAAATCAAAATCTTCCTTCGATAGCGCTTTATTCATTTCATCTTCTACTCACAACATGCAACTTGATATTAGCACTCAATTAGAGTGTATGAGTATAGTTCATTAGAGTAATATGTTTCAGTGTAGAAGTTTCAACATCTTAATATTTGAACTCCCAATGAAAAAAGCTGATTCTCAAAACCAATATAATTAACTATAACTGGAATTATAAAAGCCTAATGTTTGTAAATCAAATGATACGGTTTTGTTGATGTTGAGAAAAATATTTCAACTTCATACCTCCTTGATTTCCTTTCCAATCACTCTTACCATCATAATCATCTTAAGTTTCTTTCTCATTACAACTCCATCATCTTACTATCATTATTATAAATAGCTATATTATACTAATTAAATTTGATTCTCGATTTCATTCATGAATATTTAAATATGTTATTACTATAGTGTTAATACTGATTATTACTAATCAAATTGTTCACTAACGAAAGAGTTAGCCTCTGAAAACATTTTTATAAATATAATGATATGAATAAATAAATTGAAACTAATTGTAAAAAGTGTCATTAATCAAACTCTGACCACAATCGGATAACTATTTGATTAAATAGATAGTTCAATCAACTGATTTGCTTCCGTATTCATCATGAAATTGGAAAAATTTTCTAAGACGAAACCAATCACCAATACCTGAATCTCAAATTAGACAACAATGCTTATGATGTACTCGTTTAAACTTTGATGAAATTATTGGAAAAATCAATAATCAGCTGAGCTGAAAAGCTCAACTTGATTAAAATTATTGCAAATCATTTCCGCTCATTGATTGGATTCACTGTCATCATTACTTTGTATAAATATTTGTATAAAGCTTATTTTAAACCTATTTCTAGATATTTGAGCTCGACTTTTACCAAAAAATCTTCTGTAATTTGATTAATATCAGATATAGTTTAATGCATTATCGCGGTTAACATGAAAAATTTAAGCAAATTAGACTCTTTTATTAATGGAAGATAAATGACTATTTTTATTGCCAACAATATTGCAATGATTGGAATGCTTGGACGTTTTGAGTAGCATTTTCAAGATTTAATGACTCGAATAAAGTTCGATTGGCAATTGAGTTAAAAATTGATTAATGATTTAAACAATGATGATGAATGACAAATTTATGTACAATGATGGGAATAATATTTGATTTGATGAATTTACAAGATGTTTCTTGGATTGAGAGTTTCTTTTGAAGAAGATCCAAAAAACAAAACAAAATTTAATCGCATGTTCCCGTTTGTTGATTAAAATTGATCTAACAGACGAGCCCAAAGTAATTGCAGTGAATGTGATCATATAACAATGAAAACATGATGATGACGGCGGTGGAATTAAATGTTAAATTTGGTGAATAGCTTTAGGTTAATTCATTAAAAAAGTTAAATGGCTTTAGAGGCAATTTATCACTTTGAAAATCCTAATTTCTCAAGGATTTTAACCATATAATTGAAGAAAAATTGTAAATCATTATGACTCTTTGGAAATTCAACAAAACTATTTACAATTAATAAATTAATCAATATTTTTCCTTCTGTTCCATCTTTTTCTCTAAAGCAAGTAATTCCGTCATACTTGTTACTGTTCCTTCATTGGATGCAAAGGGAGAGAAACTGTCTTGAGACGAAGTAGAATCAGATGATGAACCTGAATCAATTGTTAATCGATTGTTTCCAGAATTATCATTATTTTTTGCCGATTCCTTGTCAATTATTTTAGCTCGAATTGTAGTTTCATCATCGATATCCTTTTCATCTTCATCAAGCTCAGTTTCTTCAGCAACAGAGTGAACTTTTGAATTGCGTCGGGAAATTTCATTGACTGATGTAGGTGAACCTGGTTCAATACTTGGCAATGCTGAAGTTATTTCAGACAATTTATTGACCACTTGCTCAAGTTCAGGCGAATCAGGTTGAATGGGTAAACTTAAATGGCTTGGAAAATATGCATTGACTGGCGTTTTCGGTCCATTGAGGAAACTTTGATTAAAACGAGCGTTTTCTTTGGCCTCAATTGAAGCTAAACGATAACGTGATGAAGACGCTGAAATTGCATTACTGGACCCATTAAAGTCTTCATCATTCATAGACCTAATATCAATTGAACCTGAGTCTTTACGTGAAATGGTATCGATTGTGGGTGAAGGACGAAACATTAAACCACTGGCACTTGACGGTCCATTTAGTTCATTATTACCAGGATACGATAATCCAGTTGAACCTAAAACGCCCATTCGAACACCAATATCACTATGTACAACTGGAAGACCAACTCGAGCTGAATGGTAATTATTAACTGGAGTATCGGTTCCTCCTCCTGTTCGACCAGTTCGTCCAGCCATTTCATGCATATTAATACAATTACGATTCATAGATTCAGCAAGCGAAATGGTTCGATTACGTTTCTGTGGCGGTGTTTCCAGTAAAAAGGGAGGAAAAATGGAAAGAAAGCCACCTTTCTCACTATGCGCAGGTCTATTAAATGGACCTTTAGAGACGTTATCACACGATTGACCAATTCTCATGCCAGGTGGACGTAAACTGGGAAGAAATCGATGCCTTGATGAAACTTCTTCTTTGTTGTCCTTTTCATTTTTCCCCTGTTCGTTTGTACGTCCAGTATTACCTTCATTGCCTTCAGCCTCAACCAAGTTGGGTGAAGCTGGAGTCGAGGTATACATTTGGTCGACCTCTTCCTCGTCGATTGGAGGCATTGTCACTATTTCAACCTCTTCAGGGTCAAGGTTTAAATTCATTGCTGAACCCAGGAAAGGTGCTCTTCTAAAGTATAATGATGATTTAGTGTGAGGTAAGACAGGCTTTGGATCATCCCAGAATTTGTCTCTTGTCAATCTTGGATTATTTGAATACATATTGTCAACAATATGATAAGAGAGAACCGTGTTTCTTTCAAGGCACCAATGAAGATCAAAATCATCGTCATCCTCTCCATAGCCATTAATCAGCTGTTCAGCAACCTTTAACCAACCCATGAAAAAGAAAAACTCGAGAACTGTGAAAACAGGAACGTAAAGGTCAACCTCATGACCTTGGTAACCTTTTGATGGATCAAGATATTGACGACCCATTAAAGTAGCCAGAAAATAAGTGTAAGTTGCTATGGTCACTGTCTGTGTGTAAACCAAAGGGATTGAGATCCAATCGTAAGCAAACATCATTCCACAATAGCCTCTTTGAATATGAAGTTCCTATTCATCAATAAAGAAGATAAATAAATTTAAATTAGATTTATGCAAAAAAAAATGTAATAGAAAAAACAAATTGTTAATCAATATTAAGTGGGCTAAACTAAAATGAATGGATTCTGACTGTTTGTCAGTCTCGGAGTCCTACCAAGCTCACAATTTAATGAGCCAGAAAATTAAGAGGTGTGTTGGTTCAGAATTGCAACAAACAAAAATACTCTCTTGTTCAAATCGAAATTCTTCAGCTAAAATTTCAATTTTATCATGTATCCAAAAATATCTAAAATTGGCTTTCAGAGATACATTTGTAATAGTTTCATTTCAACTATTATAATTTTACTATTTACATAATAATTGGCTTTCTAGGTGATTGAAGTCAAACTGCCAACACTATTTTGGTCAAGTTAATATTATAGCCTTTTAACATTTAACACTAAATCCTTAATCGTTTTGGATAGCTTTAGATTGTCATCAAAATACATTTAACCAAACAGTTTGTTGCATTAATTGACACTTATTTCAAATTATTTAACGATAAATCACTAATTCTTGATTTTGAGTATGCACAAACTCAACAAATCAGAGATTATATTAAATCAGAAAGCAAAAATCTAATAAATACAAATCAAGTCACGTTGATAACACCGGTAAATAACAACCTAAGTTATAACCTGTGGTTAAAAATTATGTTACAAATTGTTCATTCTTTGTTTACTTGATTAATAATTGATAGATATTTTCAAAGTTGGTCTCTATTGATAGCCAGGGATCAGAGGCTCTTTTGTATGTAAGATAATCCTTTCTAATCCGCCTCGTTCATTTTAAATTTGAGCTTAACCATGAGGCTTTCAAAATAGCTAGCATTGAATTTTTTGAGATTATTTTTCATTCTTTTGTTAATTGCTCGAAATTCTGAATGACAAATCGACCAAAATTAACACAATTATTTAATTGACGCTTGAAGTTTTAATTTGTGTTAATTTTAGAACTTCATGCTTTTAAAACGCCCCGCAGTGTAAGTTTGAAAAATTATTGGAAATTTTTGTTGAATTTCACGAGCATTTTCGATCATTTCCAAAAATCGTAAATGTTGGATAACTTTTGAACCATAATACGGATCGATCTCAGATTTAAATCCAGTATTAACGCAAATCTGATCCCTATTTCCTGAAAATTTCAGGCTTATAGCTATAAAACTTAATATAAATTCCAATCAAAATATTTGTAACATAATTTTTCACCACAGGTTATTGAATAATGATGAAGAAAAGATGATCACGAAAAATAAGAACCTATTAATAGTAAATAAATCATTCAACTGATTGATTAAGCTCATGAAAATACATGAAAGTTTAACAATATTACAATATTTTATTCATTAACAGCATTTAATCTGATCTTTACAGTTTAAATTGTTGAAAATGAGTGACATTTAAATAGCAACAAAATAAATCATAATAATTGTAGTAATCTTATCGTTGATGAAAGTATAATGAAATTTTCATTAAACCGACAATTTTCAATAAAAATCTGATTGTTTCATCAGTAAGAGAGAAGGGAAAGTTCATCTTTAACCTGTTCAAATATGAACTAAATGTCAAAGTTGAATGATAAACTAATAAAAGCCTATCTGAGGACTGAATCAACTAAATAAAATCATCAATAACAAACCATTGGATTATTTGTTTCTAAATCAAAGCAATGCATCAAAGGCAATCTCGATTGAATTCAATAATAATAGAAAGCTTGATTCTATCAAAAAATGTTGAGCAAAAAATCAAATGCATTACTTGAGTAAAACTTCCCATTGTGATTAATTTCAATTGAACAAAGGTAAACGCAAGATGTTAGTTTATCATGCTGAAAAAAGCAACTTGATATTATTGTCCAGGTCAATCTATTATTAACACTTTCTAACATTTACAACATATTTCTATTGATTATCTACTTAAATGTCAGCTGATCTGTAAATGTTGAAACTAACAAAGTATTAGAATCAGTAAACTATCATGGGAGTTAACCTGAAATCTCTATAAATAATCATTTCAGGTTAGATGTTATAATGATTCTGGTAGATGGATTCAACTTGAAAAGGTTTGGAAACATTAGGAATGATTAAAAGAGCGCTAGGAAGAATGATTTGGTCATAAGGTGAATAAAATTCAATAGGAAATGATTTAATGGTTTAGTGATTGTAAACAACAATTAAGATAAATCAGTTTTCATTGTTGGCTCAATGTAAACATAAACGATGTAAAGTTGGTAACATTTTATTAAAAACTTGGTGGCTTTGTTGGTGTAATGAAAGACTAGAAAATTGAAAAGCAAAACAAATTGTAGGCTTGGTATCAACTGAATTTTACTGGTTGAAACAAGAATGGCTCAGAATGAAGTGATCAATATATCATGGTAGTAGGCAAAGGAAATGTGATATTAGAGATGGAAGAGAGAAAGAGAGGGAAAGCAAGAAAGTTGAGGAACAAAAAGAAAAGGTTGAGATAATGTTTCCCTACATAATTTCATAGATAATATATTTATGTACATGTGATCTTAGGAAATTGTATTTTGATCAGCATCATTAGTAATTTTATTATAAAAACCATTTGAGTGTCTACATTGATTAACGTAATTGATAAGACTGGCAATATGGTAAAGGTAAAAGGTTTAGGATGAAAGGTAATAGGATAATGATTAAAGGTGAAAGTATTTAGCTCACCTCTAATATTTGATACAGGAAAATGTCATGTTTTATGCGACCCTCTTTACGTGCTTTAATGGCCAATGTTGAAAACCATTGAGCTGGAACCCACCATTTACCATGATCACTTGGAACTCGTTCGTAAGCTTCACGCTCTTCTGGTGTAATGAATCCAGCATCTTCAATGTGATCAAGAGTTGGGAATCGCTTGAAAATGGCAATTGAAACAGCCTGACAGGTAAACACTTGCATTAGTAATAAGTAGCGAGCTAAGGTTCGTCTTATCATTCGACCTCTTTCATCTGTACCATGGATGTGGCCTGCGATCAGCATTAAGCTTCTAAGGAGAGATAATGAATAAATATTAGAAAATTGTACAATAAAACGAGAAATATTAAGACTTTGATGAAGCAAACAGGATCAGGTTACTTCTAAGTTTGTGCAATATTTGAGAAGTTTCATTAAACATTCATCAGGCAGGGGTGAAGATTGAATTGGAATGCTTGAATTTCGTTTAATTACAGAAACTAAGTCAACTCACTTATCAGGCCAGGGTATTTGCATATATTGCTGCCACCAGCGTCCAACAACCAAAGTAACATAAAAACCGAGGACAAATGAAAGTGGAATGTAATGTGTAAAAGCTTCACAATATAAAGATAATTTTTCAAAAAGTCTGTAGAAAAAAGCAAAAACAATTTATTAAATAGTGAAATAAAATAGTAAACACATAATTAAGAGTCATTCAACGCCATTTAAGGAAATACAATACAACCATTGAGACACATGATTTGAAAAACCAAAACAAAGTCTCGTAAAAAAATCAATATGTGTTGCTAAACTAACAGTTTCATATTTTAAGGTATCCAATGTATCTAAAGGAATTATTGAGGAATAGAAATCACATGAAGAATTGTTTTTGATAGAGAATGATTGTTGAATAAGTTTTCCAGAAAATGCAATTGAAATTGAAAGTTAAAGAGTGAAATGAAAAATGGTGGGAAATATTGATTGTGTGAAATCATTTTAAACTTACGTTCGCTGGGAATCAGAAAGTAGATATCGATAAGTACCGCTGAGTCCATAGTAGGCAGCACAAAATATTGCTATTTCACGATAGAGAAGCTTATAAATTGAACCTTTCCATCTCAACAGTAACCGACTGAAACCAGTAAGACGAGCATTTGCAACGGATAGTGAATAGGTTATAGTCATGATTAGTATTGCTCATTCAATTAGAGATGAGATTTTTGATGTTATTACTTTATGTGTTCACTTGATGGACTCTTTCCTTGTAAACTTATAAATTGATTTGTTTGTTACGGTAATATTAGATGGGAAGATTGAATAAAGACAAAATTGTAATCAATAAATTTGTGTATATTGAAGGGAAAAATTGGATTAAATAAGAGAAGTGAAAAGTGTCCCAATATGAAAATAGATTGACATTGTAAAGACACTTTTTATTCCCTTTTAACCCAAAATTCCCTTTTCCAGATTAATAACAATGAGAGTTGGTTTTGTAGCACAAAAATGATGAGATTGAGTCAGTTGGTAATCATCAAGTCGATAATAAGTAGACCAATAGAAATATAAACAACTGGAATATTAAACAAAAACCAAATGGTTAGACTATAAAAGCACTTTTCTGGTTTTCATGTTCACATTGAGGTTAACATTATCACTTGGCTTGAAGTTTTGTTGTTTTTGATCAATTCATTTTACTTCCATTGGTTTTGATAAATAGAAGGAACGACTTCAGATTAATTATATAACTTGAATAAAAGCCTAGACTAGGAGGTTGTGGTTAAAAGGTGAAAGGGTAAGAATAAAAAAGGATTAAGATCTCACATCAAAGGACGATATTGAAGGTAATCGAGATGAATTTGAGAGCAAAGGTGAATCAAATGTGACGCTTCTTTTCAATGGGAATAAGATGTTGAAGGATATTACAGCTGAGAGACTTTTTTCATTGATAGAGAAAAAGATTTATATATACTTTGGATTTAACATCTTTCCAATTTCACCACATTTTCCATGTCCAATGCTTGGAGTAATTTTTTTAATGATAAACAATTTTATTTTATTTCACAACAGAAAGTGACATCTAGTGGAGTAATATTAAACTAGACTTACAGTTAATCTTTCATAATGGGAATCATCAAACGATTTAACTAAATTTGATAATTTTAAATGCCGATTATTCTGTAACCATATGCAATAAAATGGATTCCAGTTTCAGTATTAATTTTAGATTTCTTTCCTCTGCACATATCGATAATAAATTATAGTCGGGACAGTTTTCTATGAAGGTCCGACTTCCTCCACTAACTATACACCTTTCATAATTTGAACCAGATTTTTTCATCAAACTTATTTTTCTGGTTTAACTTTCAATGGCAACCAGAAAATACCCTTTTTCAAGGAGTGAAATTTTCTGTTTCTGTATAAGAGGTCACTTCATAAGCTAACTTTTTCGAGCAACCTAATACTTAAACAAAATTGTCCTCATAGTTGAATATATTTCCAAAAAATGAGTCCTTAATCAATAAATATAAAAAGTAGATTTTTGGAGACCATAACTTATTTAATAATGTAACATAAACTGTGCTTACTAAAATGTACCTTGATCCGTTCAAATCAATCAACTATCAATCTAGTTTAATGAATGAATTTTTTTTGAATAGTCACTGGTGTTGATTTGTACTAAATCAATTTTCGATTAACCTTGATTTGGATTGCATTACAATTAATTGTTAATGCTTTTTAAACAGGATTGACCGAGAAAAATGAGGTTAATCAGTAATGTTTTTAAGTTGCTCTCAATTGTTTGTAGCAATATATTTTCAGCGCAAAGACATTTAAGAAAAGATTGATTTAGTAAATTTAGTTAGCGTTTTGTTTTGGTTTCACTTTCAAGATGGGACAAATGATTCTAAATTAAAATTCAAATAGCTTTGAGATACATTCACATTATTCATTTTAGATAGATTCAAACCTCAGGCTTAATTGAAACTTTTCCTTGTCACAATCATTACGGAAGAAAAACTTGGGAATCAGTTCATATTATCCGTAATTTGTATTAGTAATTTTTTTGACTTAAACTTTCAATTTTTATCACGAGCGTTAGTTACAGCGAAAGTTGATAATTGAATGAGCGTCACAAACTGTCAGCAGCTTTGGTTTTTTCATTTGCTAGGAAATTAATATTTATTGATTACAATGTGATTCCATGGTCAATACCTAATGCAGTTAAAGTACAAAATGCATGTATTAATCAGAATTTTCCAAGTCAATGACAAAAAGAAAATAATGCTGACATGTTGAATGGAATTTTTTTTCTTATCTCACTCATTTGTCGTGTATCACATGGTATTTCAGCTAGATCGATATGAACAAATCGATCAAAATTATTAGGTTGACACAATTTTTCATTCATATTTGTCATCGTATTGTGTTTGACATTAAATTTAGATGGGGATAAATATATTGTATAGTAGATGAATAAAGAATAGGTTAAATATGTCAATGAAAGCTCGTAATTTGTCCGATTTGTCCAATTTGTCCGATTTGTCTGATTCGTCTTGATTTTAACACCATTTATGAATTCAATCAGCTAGGAGTTTCAGTTGTAGGCAATTGAATTTCCCCAGAAGGTCCATGTGGTGTTGTTGCCAAGCTACTTGTGATATCACTTGATGTAACAGCACCGCTAACCACATTTTCAACTTGATTCAACATGATGGACACAAAATCCATGATTGATTCTTGGTGGACATCAAATTCCTTCAAGGGTAATTCACTTTCAAATTGGCTCAACTTTCGTTTACCAGGCATGTTGAAGGCAATAAATTATATCAGACACAGGATATAAAAGTGAGATATTACGATTGTAAAGATACAGGAGAGGATAAAGATCAAAAATCAAGGAGATTTAAGCTGTTTAACAGCTACTACTGATGATGAAGATAGTTTTAAAAGAGAGGTTGTTACGTCTTCAACTGTTCAAAAGGTGAATCCTTGAGATGGTGAAAAGATCAAACAATGTTGACAACCTGAAAGGCGAAACAAAGAAGGGAGAAAAAAAACGTATGAGAAAAAAATGGAGTAAAAACCATTAGATTTAATTGCTTTCCAAAGTAAAGGAGAATTGAGAAGTGTATTGTATAATATCACAAACATAAACACTCACACAGCTACACAGTAAACTCTTTGAATTGCTCCAGTAAAAAGAAGAAATAGAAATGATGTTTCGCTACTAAACATCTTTTTTTGATGATTCCACTCAACTCTTTTCTCAACAACAACATGGATCACAACAATGATTTTTTGATTTGCTATAATATCTTCTGAGCAATGACAAATTCAATAATAACCTTGAGTAAATAAAAACGTAAACTCACCCAAAGAAAAAGATAACAATTGAACATCACAGGTATTAAAATACAATGTACATGTTTAAAAATGATTGGCTTTTGTTACACTAAACAACTTTACTTAAAAAGAAACAAATTTCGAAAGCCAGACGATTCAATCAATTTCTAAAATAAACGATAGATGGAGCAAACTTGATGATTTGAAAAAATTGAAGCCGCGAATTAAAAGCTGTTACAAAATAATAATCAAAAGCCATGAAAAAGGCTGAAGTTAAATAATTTCGCTTGTCATTTAGATTTATTTCTGAGCAATCTTGATAAAGCAAACCTAACTCAGATCTCAGTGCATCGGAATGACACCCACAGCGCACTAAAATCATGACCAATGGACAATCTAACAGAAATACGATTGAAATTTTAAAAGATTACAATCATTGAAATTTTTCCGGTTGTGCATCTAATTTCTGAGAGCTCAACTAAATGAGTTAAACACCAAGAAAAGGAAATAAGCTGACGTTGATCTCGATGACTTTAACTTGTATTAAGAAACAACATTATTATGAAAGGAATGCAACTTGATCAATTTGTATGGAAACACAATTGACGGGCAGATTATTTGAATCAGTTGCACCAATTTCACTCACATTGTATTTGATTTTTAGAGAAGTGCTCATTTCTATGTTGAGGTGAGCGATTCTTGATTGATAGACCTTTTTGAATACAAAGAGTTACTATCTTTAGATAAATATCACTGATTAAAGATGAAAACTTTCATTAATCAGAGTGGACTCATCTAATTTTAGTACGAACGTTTTTTGTTTATTGAGATTTGGGAATTATGTCAGCTTTTACGGCGCCACAAGCTAAAATGGCGATATCTTGCGCCATCTATCTATACCATTAGTAAACATGCAGTTAGAGCCCGTTGTCTACGGCATTGACGGAAACTGCAAATTGTAAAGTTAACTTCAACCAGTTGAACTTCAATTTATTAAATTTATTAATTTATTCAATTGTTATAATCTTGTATTCAACTAATTTGTTTTATAATTAAACATTTGAAATGGCTCCTGTTCTTGGCTATTGGAACATTCGAGGCGTAAGTAATCTTTCATTAATTAACTGTCTTTTTTGATTTCTTTTCCTTTTCTTTTTCCATGCTAATCACTTTGTTATAAAATTGTTTCTCAGCATCAGTTTTTTTCATGCTTTTTCTTTCATTTTCTTCTTTTTGTCACCTGAATTACCCTGTTTTTTTCATTTATTATCTTGATTGAGTATTCACTATCCTAATTTTATTAACCTGATTGATTACCTTAAATTGGCAAGCCTTTAGTAGTTAACTTTTTCCATCCAACGATAGATTGCCATTTATTTTTCTTTTTATTATAAAACCCATGTGACAAAGAAAATTTGAAATCAGTTGTTTAGGTAACTTTATTAAATTATTTAATTTATTGATAATGATACTTTTCTTTGTTAGATGATTTCTTTGTGAACAGCTTATACCTTTTTAAACCCAACGTTTATACAGTTAAAGCTTTCTTTAAGCGTATCAACTCCTTGTTGCCATGGGCTTAAAAAAGGAGAAAGAAAAGAATAAAATGCCTTTTTTATTCTTCATTATGCTAGTTGCATTAAAGATGTACATTTTTGAGTCAATAGACTTAAATGACGTTACAATTGCTAGCTCAAAAGTGTTGTTATGATAAACTGATAACTGAGGCGTTCTGTATTGGTGAGTTTTCTCATGATAATTATCTCAGAAGATGAATTAACTTCAAAATCAAGATGAGATTTAGTATCAAGTTAGAAAATTTTGCTCGTTTCTGTGATTTGATTTTTATGTCGGTACCTTTGCTATTTGCTATTCCATTAATCACTGTTCTGTTTCCAACGAAAACATTTTCTTCTTTGCTCGGGTTAATAGACTCTTTTATTTATTTGAGCATAGCCAAATGACCTTGCATGACTTAACCTGAGAAACGATTGTACATTTCCTTAACCTGGTTTAATTAGACCTTCTCACTCAATCATTTACTCATTCTTTGTGTTGCTATTTTAGTTGGCCCAACCCATTCGACTTCTTTTGAATTACAAGGAGGCTGTTTATGAAGATAAACGATACAACTATGGACCAGCTCCGGATTTTAGTAGAGAAGAATGGAACAAAGAGAAATATTCTCTTGGATTATCATTTCCCAACTTACCATACTACATTGACGGAGACACTAAACTAACTCAGAGTAAGGCAATTCTCAGACATCTTGCCAGAAAATATGAATTGGATGGTCAAACGGAAAGTGAGAAACAACGAATTGACCAGTTGTGTTATCAATTGACCGATTTGATGAGCTCTTTTACCTCAATGTGTTACAATCCTGATTTCGAGAAACTCAAACCCGATTACATCAAAGGACTCCCTGAAAAATTGAAATCATTGGCTCAATTTCTTGGCGAAAACAAGTTTGTTACCGGCGAAAATATCTCTTTCGTTGACTTTCTTCTTTTCGAGTTTATTGATCAACAACTCTACCTTTTACCGAATTGTCTTAATGAATTTCCTAATCTGAAAGATTTCCATTCTTCATTCAAAGCTATTCCAACCATCGAGAAATATTTGAAAAGTGACCAATATATCAAATGGCCTCTCAATGGAGATAGAGCCAAATTTGGTAGTCGACACAACCCCCCTGAGGAGTAAGGAAACTGACCAATCTCTCAATCTGAATCTCTTCCCATGACGCTAAAAGAGTTTCTACAAATTTGTCGAAATGCTCATAATATTGAGAGAAATTATTTTCAATCGAAATCTCTGCCAATAATTACTATCGGCTTCTTCCCTTTCATTAAATGCTCTCTTTGAAAAAAATTGCTATCGTTATAGATAATCGGTTAATATCCATAATACTAATAATCCATAATATAAGATCGTGTGAAAAATGATGATTTGAAAGGGTTATTTCAGTATTTTTCGCATTATCACGTATAAAACGATTTAATTATGTCTTCCAACTGGATTGTTTTCCATTAATGGGAAACACATTGCTATCATCAAATTAATCCAAGACAACACGTAATGTATAATTATCGACCATCATTATCTTGAAGAGTGACAATTTGTAGTTGTGATTCAGACAACAATACAACGCGAAATAAAAACGCGATTTTTTGCAACATAATTACAGACTTATCGTAAAAAAGTTTCAACATGATTAAACTATAATATAAATTTTTCAAAGATTTCCAAAGGTGTATTAACTGCAGATGTTTATAAATTGGAAGATTCACATTAAATTAGAGCAGCTTTAACTACCAATCAACCTAATTATCTCCTAATTGGTCTCTCCAAATTGCACAGAGAAAGTCAAGTCTTGAGTTTATAATACACTTTTGTTAATGGAAAATTGAGTCGTAATTAATTAACCAAGATTTGCAACTGAATTAACCAACAAAATGAAAAGAAGGATCCAACGTGATAAACTTAATCCAACCATCTTTGCAGCATTATCAGTAGCTCCATTAGTTTAGTGTTGATCAAAATGATCAACATTTTTGGCTCCATATTAAACAAACCAAGTGCAAGTTTGTTTAAATTTTGGTCAAAACAATTTGAACAATAAAGTTAATAATACAGAATTGTTTACATAATTTCCATATGAAAAACTTAAAGATGAAAGTAAACAATAACAGGGAAAGAAAACATTGAACAGAAAGTTGCTGAAAGGGTGAAATTTAGTTACGTGATAGGCTTAGTATTAAACATTTTTGGTTAATTGTTGAACAGTGACGATCGAGGCAAAAAGATGATGTGAAGTGAACACTTGATGAATTTACGATGGTTATTTAAAATATAAACAAAAACTCAGCTTCAACTTGCCTCCAGACATTGTTCAGTTGTTGATGATAACATTGGGTTTGAACAATCAGCAGATTCAACCGTTGACTTTGTATGACTAGAGATTGAACTTTGTTTATTGGGTTGCTTTGAACCAACCAAGGGTTGAGTCAAAGACGTTTTGGCTAAATTTAAATGGTTATTATTTGATTCCAAGGTTGTTGCCGGAGATGAATTTGATTTACCATTGAGTATAATTTTAATGATACAAAATAAACCACCCAGTCCAATAAAAACTATCCCAATTATCTGGGTTGCCAATTTAAAGGTAACAATTCCGATGAGTAGTGAGATTAATCCAATAACAAGGCATCCAACAGAAGTATAGATGAGGAAACGAAGATGATGTTTCTCTTCATTGGCAATGTTATTAGATGAGTTGAGACGGTTTGATGAGGTTGTTGATGATCCTGCTTGTTGATTAGATGAATTTTGATTATGTTGATGTTGTTGTTGATGATGGTGATGAGGATGATGATAATATGAAGATGGAAGATACGAATGATGATTTGATGTAGAAAGGTAAGTGAGACCTCTACCAAAAGGATCACCAACTAATTTTCCTTGCCGGTTTTTTTCCCGCTCACGACGGACAGCAACAGCTGGCATTGCTGAAATCATTTTGATGTTTTTTTCTGGTATCTGTTTAACTATTAAGTGGTAATTTATTAATTAGTGGTTAAATTATTTTAATGGAATCCCGACGAAGTGGTGAACAGACAGAAGATTTTAGATGATCAATTGATTGCTGTCTGGCTGTTGGTAATGTATTCCTATTTGTGTTCTGGTGTTGATCTTTTGGTTTCTCTGGTTAATGTGGATTTAAGTGTTCAACATAATGCGGGTAATTAAATAGTGTAAACAATCATGTTTCACCGATTGTTTCAACTTTCCTCTTAATTGATAGTAAGTTGATTTTATTACTTTAACATTAAAATATCACTTTTTACACTGTTTTTAACTCTTCCCTTGTTTTTTTTTTGTTATTTCTCTGTACTAGTCAACATGTTGAAACATGTGTTTGGGATTCAACGGACAACAATGGAAACAAGACTGAAAAGATGATGATGGAAGTCAGAAAGTGTAATTAATTGATTTGACGTTGTTATTCACTTGTTTAATCATTGATTTCTGCTCAACTCTTCCATTAAGTCAATCAGAAAATCAACATTCTGGGTAATCACAAAATAACATTGTTCCTGATGGATTGATTTTACTTTAACTGTGAACTAGAAGCAAAGAGAAGTACCAAAATGGAGAAGAAGAAAAACCAAAGGAAAAGGAGGAAAACAATAAGCTATCAAGAGGAAATCATAAAAGGAAAAGAAGGAGGAGGATAAGAAATGGAAGATGAAGATCAGGATGAAAATCGAGGAGAAAAAAAAGTTGCGGATGAAAAATAAGCTCAAACCTAAGATGAATCAAAAACCTGATGATTAGGAAAGCAAAGTGAAAAAATACATATATATATTCATTAGATATATATATATATATTTATAAACGAAATATGGTAAATGAAACAAAATCTATTGGGATGTTTATTGTAAAAAGAAGAAGTAATGATGATAAAGAAGAAAAGGAAAGGAAGAAATTGGTGAGATGAAGAAAAGGTTTACTTTTATTGAAGCAACAGCCACATGAGCATCTTTAAAGAGTCTAACAGAGTTTCAGAATATCATCTATTCTCCTGACTATCTTCAGCTCATGCTTCATGTTTTTATCATCATTACTATCATCTTGATCATCATTATCATCAACATCGCCACCACCATCACCATCACCATTCTCCTGTTATTTTATCAATTCTCTTCTCTCATCCATTCTCATTTCCCTTTCAAAGGCTCTCTACTAACTAGTCCTTTCACTAACCCACAATCATCATTCAGCATTAATTTACCTTTGATAATTCACTTCATTTCAAGTCACTAAACAATGGGCCCATTCAAACCATTATCATGAATTAATTCTTCCTGACCAAACTCTCTGTCACTGGTTCCCCTTTCATTATCCACTTTCAATCAACTGAAATAGTCTATTGTTAATTAGTCAAACTTTTTATTCCTTCATACCTTTCATATTCCAATTCATTGTCTTCTCCACAATCACTGTACTTCTTCCTCCTTGACTTTGATAGTTTTCAATTTTTCATGTCATAACCATTTGTGTACAAAAAAAGCTTGATCTTTAAACAAGATCTAAAGTCAAAATTTGATGTCAACTTACCGAGAAATCATTTATTATTAAGCAAGTTTACCTCAAATTTAGGATACAAGAAGACATCTTTAATTAAATGTCTCAAATACCTGTCCAATCTCCTTTTCGTCTATTCAACGTTCATTCTTATCTCAAGGAACAATGATTTCCAGAATATCAACAAGAGCAATAATATAATAATCATGATGATGCCATTACCATTATGGAGATCCCTTTCAACTTGAATTTGAATCAACTTTCCACCTTTTTACTTTGATCCTCATTTTCTCACTCAATTCAATTCATTTTCATCATTATCGCTTCTTTTTTTCCTTCAGAGAAAAAAAATTCGTTACATCACTAAATCCATGATAGATTTTGATGATGAACCCATAAATTGTATCAAGTTGCTTTCATTACTCATTTTAATATGATCAACATCACCATCATTATCATCATAATCATCATTATACATTATATTATAACCTTTCAACCTCAACAAACTAAACTTGTCCCGATCCAAGCATATCTTTTTTACCATTGAATATATTTATTTTTTTTTTATCATTTTTACCTAGACAAACGATTCAACAGAATCATGAGAAATCAAGAAGAAGAAGAAGATGAATAAAAACCATTTGATATCAGCCTTTTCAGTTTCTCTGCATCATCATTTCCTATTCACTCATCTTTATCATTTTTTACTCCTCATGCTTCATCATCCTGAACTCATCTGATGATAACTTTTACTGGATCAACTTTAGTTGTCACTTTTATTTCATCTTTTCTGGTTTTCTTCTTAAAACTTGAACATAATATTGAATCAAAGTTGTGAATGGCAAGATAAAGGCGAAGAAGGAAAAAAAATGAAAAGTTCAATTTGAAAATGTGATGAAGAGAAGATTGAAAAAGAAAAATTCACTGAAAACGCTTCAGTTTACTCGATCAAATCAAACTAATGCTTTTGATTAACTGTATAAACTGAATTATCAACTAAATGATGAACAACAAATCAATCATTCAACAACCACTTAGCTAATAAGTCAAAGAAATGGAATCAAAAATTGAAAGTTAATTTATCAATTTCATCAACAATAACAATAATCAAGACTAACAAATTTAAAGCTCAAAAACGAAACAAAATGTTGATCGATTCACTTACAATTGCATAAAATCACAAGCTGATCTGTCTCTCATGTCAACCAGAATTTCTAAACCAGTAGATTTAAATCGTATTTAAAAACATGAAATGATTGCTAATTAACTGATTGATTGTTAAAAAATTGGAAACAATACAAACCATCCTTTGAAACCTTTACCAATAAAAATGGCAAAACATATATAAAAGCATAAACCAAGAAAAGTTAATTCAGTTAGATATTCCTTAGGCACAACAATTAAAACTGAAATGATTTGATTTCTATCACCTAAAATATCATTGCAATAATTTTAGTTCAATTGTATCATAATCTGTCAACTATTAAGCCATTATTTATACACCTAAACCAAGATGCAAATAACAATCATTTTGATCTTTAAACATTGTCTCATTGACATTTCAATTGTATGTTTCAATAAAAGCTTTTGTGATGAAATGAAAAGTGTTTGAGTTAATTTTGCAGTTGAATTAAAAGCATCAAAATATTGTCCATTTTTGACAATAAGTTTACATGAATGTGTATAAATGACGTACAATTTGCAGGCTTGAAATGTTGAAAAGGCCTAACAATAAAACAGGGTAAACTTAATATAAGATGAAAAGATGATAAAGACAAGACTGGAGTTATGTTTAATATGTTATAAAGATGGGAAAAAACAAGGTTGATGAGGATGAGTTATCTTTGTGAAATGATGAATGTTTGATCTGATCAACAAGAGGCAATAATAAATGCCATAAGTTGAATGAAATTACCAATAAACATATCTAAAAAAAGAAGGAGGAAAAGCTTACTGTCATCCAAGATGAAATTGACGGCAAAGATAATGAAGATGATGAGAGTGATGATGTAGATTGTGTTGATGAAAATAAAGATGAAAGTAAAGATGGTAAAGGAATGATCAATGTTGATAAAGACCATGGACATTCATTTTGTGCTGTTGATCACAATGATGTTGCCTCTTTTAATTTTATTGCATTTCCCTTTTCATCTTCTTCCCTTATCATTGGTAAAACCAGTAAAAAGCTCTGATGAGAATGACCATGATGATCGTCATCAGCCATTATCAAAAACCTTAATTTCATATCATGTTGATCGTCTACATAAGTGGTTAGCCTGTGAACCCAATTCAAGTCATGTTTACTTTCAGGCAAACTTCAACTTCTCAATGATTCCAAACCAATGGATAAACTCTTTGCCTCATGTTTAACAGCCACTTTAATAGCACAAGTTAACCCACCTTATAACCTTATCTCAATACTTTATTTCTGTTATTATATTTACTTATCAGTCCAAATGCTAATAATATAACTAATAATAAACTGTGAAAGATGATTCCAGTGAAACTTTTAATCATAATTTAGAGTAAAGTGAAGCCTTTTTTTGCTTCAACTCCCAGTTTTGCCTTGGAGTTGAACATTTTCATCATTTTTCCTTCAACTTATCGTGATCAGTTACAATCTTTTACATTATCATCATTAAATTAAATTAATTTATTTAACCCATTCAATTGCTGTCATCAAAGTTTTATAGTCAACTGTTTATTTATTCATCAAGTTTCTCTTTCTATTTTCTGGTTTTCCTGGTTTTTTCTGGTTAATTTATTTTTGTCATCTTTACATCTGTTCAAAGAGTAAGGTAAAAGAGACAGCATTCAAAAAGGCAGAGTTTCAGGCTATACTAGATGACTTTGACTCTTTTACATTGGAAAAATTTTTAATCTTGACTTTTTTCTCAGAACTTTTTAGTTTTTTTGCTCTAATTTTGTATTATTAATTTTAATAATTTACCTATTGTCGCCCTCCAATGAGTATTTACCTTGTTGAATGTTGACTCTTCTACATTACTCTTTTTATTTGTTTCTCTTTTCTTTTCTGGTTCACTCCATCATTTACCCTTTACTTTTCATCATTTTTGTCTGTTACCTTTTTGTATTCATTTTGATTTGCGTGTAAAATGCTTTTTATTGCCAGTTGCTATTACAAGCATTATTATTTCATTTGGTTTGACAAGATTTTATTTGTAAAGTTAGTCTTTTATTTTATACTTTTACTTAATGGTTTGACGCGAGTTGATCTGTTAACCATCATTTTATTGCTCTTATTAACTTTTATCGTATTTCAGGGTGAAAATGGTGAAAGACGGATGATTCAGTTTCAAATACGATTTCCACAAATCGATCTTTTATTGCAATTAAGCAATGAATTTCGCAATCAAATTTTACGATAAAATTAAGAGAAATTTAGATTTAAATCGAAGACTGATTGCTTAGAACTTTATTCAAAAAAAATTGTTGAATTGTTTTACAGAAAATTTAGCAAAGTATGATTTAGATAGATTGTAAGATATTGCTAGCATTTGGAATGGACCAAAGCTTTGTGAAATTGGATATGATTTAACTCATTTATTGCAAGATATCAAACGATGAAATGAAAACTCTGATGAACCTTGTGATATTAAGTTCAGGTGTACCTGACAATCACATTTATTTGAAAAATGAAAAACAAAACAGATAAACTCAAGACTCTTCACCATCAGATCTACAGATTGTACAT